ACAACTCAGTTGCTCTTTACGCTTCAGTGTACGCAACGGCTTTGCCTTTTGCCATACACAATGACTACTTAAGTGCCACACTGACAGACGCGAACGGCAAGCGCGAGCAATTGTACTCGATAGCGGTTGCAGCCTTGCTGGAAACGGCACATTCGCCTTCCATTGAAGCCCTGCAAGCATGTCTGCTTCTGCTGCAAAAGGGCCCAACATTTCAGCATCAAGGTCTGACGCCGACATACTCCTGGTTCTTGTCAATCGCAGTCACGATTGCCAGGTCTCTCGGCCTACAATATGACTGTGGCGGATGGAATATACCCTTGGTGGAGAAGCAGCTTCGTACACGACTCTGGTGGGCAACCTTTACCATGGATATCTGGATCAGTGTGGATTCCCCTGGAGGGCGGTCAATTGGGCCTGACGATTACGATGTGCTTCTGCCAAATTCGGAGGACGGGACGACCGGCAGTTACGAGCATGCGAGGGCAGAATGCAATGAGTTTGATGGGCTCGTAAATCTTACTCACCTTCTAGCTCAAATTCATGGAACGTACTATACGATCCGTGCGGCGAAGCAAACTTCATCGGATTTATTCAAATCCCTCGAGTTTGCCCGTCCACTTCGTTCAGCTCTCAGTGAATGTAGGCAGAATTTGAAGGCAGACCTGCCTCTCAACTCGGGTGACGAGCCCGGGATGAGCGCATCCGTGCATCTGGCGGCTTGTGTTGTGTCGATAATTCTATTTCGCGCCCTCCTCCGACCTATCCAATGCGGGAATATTAGATCGCTGACAGAAAGCTACAAGTCAGCAGCAGCAGCCATCATGACCGGCTCCGTCAACTGTGCGAGAGAAGCCGTTGAGCTGTTGGAAAACATGGTATCGATCATCGGCCCATGGAACGCATTTTGGCATTCCTGGTCGCAAGGAAACTTTGCCATCGTCAGTACGTTCCTAGTGCAGCTGCTACTCATGAGCGACTCGGGAGATGGAATCAGAACAGAGGTGAGCGAGCTTATTTCCCGCTGGAAGCGCGCCATACGCGTCATGGCAGGGAGTGGTGGATGGGGAAGCTCTCTGATGGGCATGGCGCTCAGCAGGCTGGATTCCCTTCTTAACCATGCCGGGCTATGATAGCAAGAGGGCAACTTGAGAACCGCCACGGAGAATGACGTTGCAGGCCGATAGCGTCTACCACAGTCACTGCATCTTGGTCTCTCGCGGGCCCCTTGACTTGGTGTGCTTCCACCTCGGGCCTTGTACATGTTAGTGGTCCCTCCCACCGAGGCTGTCATCTTCGGTCCAGGAATATCTTCTCTGCTTCCTGGCGAAAACCTTCCGGTGTCAGGTCTTTGTGTTCTTCTAGTTCTGCGTCGGCATGGGGGTTTTGCAGGCGATTCTGGTCGTTGCCTCTGCGCTTAGTCGTCATCTGCAGAGTACCACGTCTCGGGAGTATGATTTTAAGGTCTCCCAGCGGAGGGAATAGATTCATCTCGGTCGTACCTGAAGCGTTAATTCTGTGGGCCACGCAATCTACTTGGTGCTAGTACCTAACTTGTAGGTAGTTGCCTCAACCACGGGGCCTCTGCCGCGTAGTTACTATGATTTCTCCGTAGCCGGAATCAAGTAGACTAGCTGCGTAGTTGAAATAAGAGAGGAAAGATGCGATGAAAAGAGAGATAACCCTAACCGCTCAGCTAGGATTACTACGCAAAGACCAACAGTAGCATCATTTTTAATCGTCGCTTACATGTATGGATAACAAGTCTCGACCTCACGACGACCAATGAAGCAATGTATCACTGGCTTTTCAAGGGTGCAAACACCCCGCAAGTGGGTATATTCTACCTATTATGTTGATCCCAGTCTAGGCCCAGCTTCGTTATGGGATGAGTTTCACTAGTAGGCCTATAGCGTGGCGGCTCCCTATTGCCCTTCAGATCCCTACGGCAGCAAGAGTTGCTCTTTTGGTTGTGGGACTGCCAGAAACCCCCAGGTGGTTGATTCAGCAAGGCCGGACTGAAGAAGGCGTGGCTGTTCTGTGCAAAGTTTAGAACAGTGCCCAAGAATTCTGTCACGAGCCCACCGTTGTCCCCAAGTACCCTACTCTCCCCACCCGATTCGGGTCGGTGGTATAGGAAGAAAAGGATAAGGCAAAGAATAGTTGAAGCACAAGCTAAGGAGAGCTAAAGTACGAGGCTATAAGTTGACAATGCTATCGGTTAACGTCGCCTTACCCTTTTTCACATGACAGATAAGAGGGAAGCTATAAAAGAGTTTCCTCTCACCCGAATCGGGTGAGAGAGAACTCCTTTTTTTTTTTTTTTTTTCTTAAGCGTTGAGTCGTTATCGATAGGACTACGTGATATAGAATAAAGCATTCAGCTACTCTAATTCTCTGTACCTGCTTCACTGCGTAGGTCCCTGATAGATCCAGTGGTTGAAGTTAAAAAGAGAGATATCCTTGAGGCCATTGCTTTGGAGGAGGAGCCTTTTAAATGGATCCGAATCTTTAAGCGAGACCTATGCAGACAGGCCGGCGCGTGTTTCTCGCTTATCTAGTATTGTTTAAGAATTAGGTCAGTCGTTTTGGGAGAGGTCAAGTTGTATCTGTGATAATGCTAATTGAAGACACAGTGGGCGGGGATCAACGTCATTGTGTTCTACTCAGTGATTGCGCTCAAAGCCAACGCTGAACTTAGTCGTAATACTGCCATTGTTGTGGGTGGCTGTCTGAATCTGGCGTTCGCGGTCGGATCACTGGTCCCTGCTCTTGGAGCTGATCGTCTCGGCCGAAAGAAACCCATGATTTTTGGAGACCATCGGGATGGGTCTTTCTATGATGGTGGTGGCGATCCTGCTTTCTTACAGTGGAACGAACAAAGGGAAGGTGACAGCCTATGCTTCTATCGCCTTTTTCATTACCGTGAGCTATGGTCTCGCACCATTCTTCCCTATTAAACTGACCACCACTTCACAGTACATGCTCTCGTTCGGATCCAGTTTGAATGCTATCCCTTGGTGCTGCAGTACCGAAATTCTACCATTACGCATTCGTGCCTAAAGGACGGCATTAGTTGTCCTTAACAACTGGATCTAGGTACATATATTTATTCCCCTTCAATAGCCCACCATCTCGAAAGAACATACTATAATGGGAGAAGTTTGAAGTGGTGGATAGCGTTATGATTGGCTCGGGCGCCGACCCTAGACTAGGGTTCTTCTTATATAGTCCTCGGGGACTATCCTTCATAGAATTGACAATCAATCAAGTTACGAACAGAGAAGACTTCCTTGGTTTGAGTGTGCGTGTTGGGGAGAGGCTATGCCCACCGCCGTACGAGTTGATGCCCATGGCCAGTAGCCTCGCCCCAGTTCAATACTGATTTAATTAAGTTCTTTATTATTGTCGAAACAACGCCCACCCTAGTCCACAAAATCACCCGGAAAACCTACCTAGCCTTATGGCATTCGTAAATCTTCTTCTCATTTAAGCTACCTCGGGTTCAATAGCTACCGATTAAACTTAGAATTTTATCTCCGCGCCTATAATTCACTTATAGTTACCCGAAGCCAAAGACCTGGGGCTCGAAGAAATCGACTACATCTTTTTAAAGTCTGATCGACTTCCAGCCGACGAGAATAGATTAGCAGATAGGTTGTGAGCGTTAAGTTACACGGAAAGTCTCACTCTACGGCGATTAAGGTTTAGGAGAAAACGAGTGTCTAAGATTAGGGAAACGCTAGCTATTGGGCAAAGGGGTAAGATTGATGGCAGGGCAAAGTGAAGATGGGCATGCATAACTAGAGGGTTTCAGATAGATGGTGACAAGAGAAACGGAAAACAAACATTAACGTTGAGGTGATAACGAGGATGCTCCCGGAGCACTGAGGTATTTTCATACCCTGCCAGCCTTCACAGACACAAGTTGGCAGGATGTGCCCTAGCCTACGAGCCCATACGTCACTTTACGCCCTCAGCTCCGGTTTTATAGCAAAAATATACCTTAGAGCCAACCTGGCGCGGTCGCCAAGTTTGCAGATCAAGTGGCCAGAGAAATAAACGGATTTGGTATTCCCTTGCCATGTTCAAATCATGTCCCATTACCCTGCAAGGACGATACGTACCATTGTAGCGTCACTGGTAACCTGCTCGAGGGGTCACGGTTACATATCGAGCATATCAACTAAGTCCAAACACAGGAATGTCTACCTGCATGTGATGTAACCAATCTCTTTCAGTCTCGAGAATCGCCGTAACCACCGGGAATGCCAGAGGCGTTGGCTTGACGCTGGATTTTGCCGTCGCCGAGGCCGGGTGTGGGACTGAGAATTGTCAAGTTGTTAGAGAGCATTGGCCTATTCTTGGAGATGTCTGTCTATCTGTTCTTTTAGCGACTTCTCTCCTATCTATATAGACATTTGGCATGGATTAAGAGAGCCATTCCTAAAAGTTTCCTAGTTACGTCGTCTATGACGTTACCGTCCTGATTAAATAGTCGTAATATTAGTTGGCCTATGCAGTTGGCCTATGCGCCATCGATTTGGGGTGTGGCGCGCACCTACCCCGTGTATGGCCTGTGAAAGTGGCTGCTAAAACCCTGAGAACTTGAGCTGACTGGAGATGAAATGGAGACAAAATAGTCCAAAAGAACACGACGAATTTCGATAGAAAGTATCGTATGCTAAGTCAACCGGCCTTTGCAAGCGACCCAGTAAAGAGAAACTTGACACTTGAGCACCTCGGTGTCAGCTTGCAGTTCAGTGCTTCCAAACCTGACAGCATCCAAAGAGCTCGGTCCCGCGAGTTGGGCCCGTTCGATCGCGAGGTGTCGTCAAGAGGTGTCGTCGAGTGTGGATGTTTGCCGGACGACGAAGATTCCTCCGGCCCACCGGACTCAGCAAACTATTGGCCTCGTGGCGCCTTCGGAACCCGAGTGGACAAGCCTTGACCCACAGCCTTGGTCGCCACCCAACCTTAAATCAATTTGAGGTACGGAAATTCTACAGCTTGGTCTTTTCGGCCGGTTGATTTGGGTCAAGCGTGTGCTTCAGATACTCTGGGCTCAGAAACGTTTTTTTCTGCCCGTAGTAGCTCATCCACTCTTCTTTCTCTCGAGTGTCTTCCTGCCTCCAGCAAGCCGATTCCGTCCCAATCCACATAACCGTATGTTCTGCTGTCTCTACTACCTTCTCTAGAGGAATCAGATGGCCTGCGTTGCGGATGAGCATCTCCTTGACCCGAGCTTCTGGACGGCCTCCATTGCCACCAATGCCCGTTCCAGGTGGCGGCTAACTTGTCAGCTCGAGGCTGGAGTGTGGAAAGAGAAGATCGTTCTCTAATATGTGTAGCATCGGGGGTCTCACGTATGGTAGGCCGGTAAACGTGATCGCCGTCTCCGGAAGATAGAAAGGGATCCTTGGATCGTCTCCCGGAGTCAGGTCTGGATGCTTACGGTGTTTCCGAGGAGATACTGCTGACGGCTGGTCGTTCACAGTTCCCAAACGCAAGGATGTTTCCACTTCCTGAAATTTGGTAGTCTGTAATGTTACTTCGCCTAGGGACGACGCATTGCGATACAAAGGGGTGGCAAGCTCCCTAAGCCCCTACTTTACCCAAAGGCTCAGGACCCTTGGTTCCAATTTCAGGTAAAATTTGTTCTTTCTAAAAGTGTCTGTCGCGCTTTCACGAGACTCTCAGTGATCATACCGCCTCGCCAAGGCTGTTGCGGCGACGAACTCGTTCTTCTTGGAATTCTGTCGCGATATGACTGGATCAATGAGAACCAGTGTCTCCAGCAGTCGCGGATGCATGAGCGACAGGTTTGTTAGGTGGTTTCTACCCATGCTGTGGCCTATTCCCACGATGGGACGAAGCATCTGGTCCAAAAACGTTGATCATATGAAGCAAATTACGAGGATGGTCGAAATATGAGGCTACTCCAGGTCAGAACTTACCGAAAAAGTGGTCCTCGTATCTCAGACTCACGGTCATTCCCTAGTTCGTCTTCATTTAGAACCCTTCTTTGGTTGTGAAACGTCAGCAATCCAGATGCCTCGAATGCCAAAGCCGGCGGCTTTCTCCAAGATGCAATATTTCATCTCATAAGGGCTCATACACCGCCTGGGGTCTGATCAGATGTCGGTCGCCTACCCTTCGAAAAGTGCTGAAGGCAAAATGATATACCTCGGGAAATCCATTCGCGATAATTGTGACATCGCCATACAGAGGCCTCAGATTGCCCGAGGGCATATGTTGCTTGACGGCCATATGGAGAGTGTCTTCCTCCGCATTTGCGGTCCTCGGGTACTGTCTAATATGCTGACATGGTACAATGTGTTCAATAGCGCGGAAATACTCTGTGAATATGGTAGCAAAGGCCTATGGGTAACTTTCTTTGCTTGCTATTGTGTGTGGGCTGTGAGAAGGCCAAAGAAGACGACGCTTCAAGTTTCAACGAGCACGTTGTGCTTTCGTCATGGTGCAGGTGCGTTTGGCGTGTTACGAAACATGTTGATAAGACCCCCATATAAAGTCCTATAACTTTCTAATAGTTTCTAGAGGAAAGCTACCGCCATGTATTCACCGGTATATCACCCACCGGCCATTTTGTCATACTTTCTCCAGCTCCAGACTACGACTACTGTACCCCGGGTCATCAACTCCACATTTTCTTGACGTGCACATCGGACCCCGCCCTCCGTACCCGGGCTAAACCCGGAGTCCCCGGAGTCTGAGCCTCCATATCAAGGAGCCTGTCCCACCTTCCAAATATCTCATCTATCTTTCCGCGCCCTCTCCAACAAGTCCGACTAAACCTGGATCTTGAATTTTCGTTTTACCAGCTCCTTGGTCTTCACAAGGACCACCAGAATGGGTGACAAGGACTTTGGCGAGGTGGAACACTACAGCGGCGAAGTTGTTGTTGAGCATGGCGTAACCGCGTCTGCCATGCATCAGAAGCACAGTGCTCAAGGTGTTCTTCTTGTTCCTCAACCCTCGGACGATCCTCGCGATCCTTTGGTGAGTTCTTACGTGCGAGAGACCCCAGTCATCCATGGCTCTATATGATTTGACGATGGATTTCCAGAACTGGTCCTTGGCGAAGAAAGCCACCACGTTCACGATCGTGTGCTTCGTTGCTTTCGCCGGTCTCTTGCAGGCGCTTGCCAACGCTTCCGGCTTTTTCTACCAGGCTACTGCATATGGGAAGACACCTATCGAGATTTCGTACAGCGTAAGTCAAATGCAAAAGCTTGTAGGAAAAGCTACATACTGAATCCAACAACCCAGTTATCTGCGGCGATTGCCGGTCTTACGTTTGGACCATTTGTGTGGACTCCGCTGGCTACTCGCTATGGCAAGGCCGCCATCATGTTCTGGAGCATGGTCTTGACCATGGGGGCAAACATCTGGTCGGCGTGTATGACAGGAAAGAACGACTACGTTCCGTTCGTCTGGTCGCGTGGCTTCGCAGGTTTCTTCGGATCCGCGCCCCTAACCAGTGAGTCTACATTCCGACGCACCTGGCATCTTCTGTTAACCAGTGACTAACTTATCTATCCCCATCTCCTATAGTCGGTGCAAACTTCATTGTGGAGATCTTCTTCCTGCACGACCGCGGCAAGTGCTTTGCAATCTATACCTTCTCCATTCTAGTAGGAGGGATTTGCTGCTCCACATTCTCGGGCTATATTGTCCAGCGCGTTAGCTGGACGGTACAGTTCTGGTACAACGTGGGACTCGAGGCTGTCCTCGCACTATCGTGTGTGCTTTTCCTGGATGAGACGAACTGGTCCCGTCCAGGCCAGCTACCGGTCCCGACTCCCCCTAAAGGGTTGGTCCAGCGCAAGCTGGCTACTTATTTCTTCACCAAGCCTATGACAGCCAAGAGGTCACCGGCAGAGTTATTCAAGTCATGGACGCTTACGTTCCGCGTTGCATCTTGTCCAGTATCCATTATAGTTGGAGGCAATATGCTGATTTTCTACGGTTTTGGAATTGGCATTAACACTCTGCTGTCCATCTTTTTACAGGAACCGCTCGAGGATGGTGGATACGGCTTTTCGGCCGACCAAAATGCTTCCTGTCAGTTCTCCCTATTTCTTAACATATTTTTTTCCTCTGCGACTTATACCCGCTATAGTTACGTTCGTCCTATGGGTCAGCGCCTTTCTAGCTCAAGCATATGGTCTCTTTATCGGAGATCGGCTCCCGCTAGCTATCTGTGCCCGTAACCGCGGAGTCTGGAAGCCCGAGTATCGTCTCCACTCTACATGGTTGCCGCTCCTGGTCTCCTTCCCTCTCGGTGTTGGACTTTTCGGCGGTTCCTTATACTACCACTGGCACTATATGGTCCTCGCCGTGGGCGTCTTCCTATCCAACTTCGGCGCAATCTCAGCGGTCTCCCCTCTGCTCAACTATGTCGTCGAAGCACTAACGCCAGCATATGCCAACGAAGTCGCAGCTGCACTTAACTTTTACCGAACCTGTTTCGCCCTCTCTATTCCCTTCTTCTTGGATTATTGGATTGCGGCAGTTGGCGTTAATTGGGCCTTCGGCATGATGTCAATATTTGTTGTTGTGGCTTATATGGGTATCATCGCGTGCATGATCTGGGGTCCTGCCATAAGGGCGAAATCAGTTGTGCACGCAAATTCGGAGGCCGGTATTCACATTCTGGACGAAACTCCTCCGGTGGGGGAGGGAAGGGGATGGAGCCTGGGCCGCCGAGAAGTAAGCTGAAAAATCTCACCACACTTCACACTTGCCAGTTGTGGTGGTCGACGTAGAATTCTCGGCAGGTGCTTGTCGGTGACCGAAGAGGGCGTCACAGATTTGCTAATATTGCTTTATGGCCGGGATGCGTAGGCAGTTCAATCTTTCATCGTTATATATATGATGAAGGCGAGCACAGCCGGTATCATAAATTAACTCCAGAAGAAATCTTCGGTGTTTAAATGGCTGTCGGACGACCCAACCAACAATCGAAATCGTTTGCCGTGCACTAAGAGCAAAATAAACGAAAGCTAAGACTTTCATGGAGAGCGACGTAAAGATGTATGACGTGATAGTGGTTTGCTACAGTCACACCGACCAAACTGCCAACGCCTTCGAAGTAAGTTCGGAATGAAATACCCTCCAGCGGTTGTCCTTACTTCTTCCATGCGTGACGGCAACAATGTGTGAGCTAACATTGATGAAGCCGCAGGTAAACAGGTTAACGGGGATAAGGGATAGCAAGAGGGCAATTAAAGATTTGAGGTAGATTTCCTGGTTCGTTGCTCTGCAGATATAGGCCAAGCTGATGGGTATTCCGTTCTCATTGATACCAGCACTCCACCAGGAAATTCAGTACTTAAGAGGTAGAATCATTGAGGGGAGACGTTGGCATCTATAAATCTTCTATACATTGCTCGAAATCTCAGGATTTGATATGGAGTTTCATGTCAGTTCAACTATGGACCGCAAGGTCTGTCCCGTGAGAGTGATTTGAGAGATATGGAACAGATTACATTAAGCCCCCCATCCACCTCGAAGGCTGTAACTAAACAGCGTGCAGTTGCGGTGCGACTCAGGGCGACTTTTGTAGTCATCGAACCACAGACATATTTGCGTAAAGGACGCGGGTTGCAGCTCAATGGTGTGCTAGCCTGCCCGCGAAAAAATTAGATGTGCCTCAGCAATAGATTGAAGAACGGCCAGCAGACAATCCATCTGTATAGAACAAAATTACCGCAATTCTCGAGGAGCGTCATGAGATTCAGTCGAGGCATGCACCATTGTCACCGGCGTCCGAGAACCCACATGGGCAGCTCCAGACCGGTATATCACACATCCGACCCTTGAAAATCGCCAACATGGTGCCGTCCAGGGAGTTGACCTCGGCTCTTTCACGCAGCTGGTGGGTAGTGGAGATAATTGCAGCGCAGATTGCTGATTCCGAGGCGAAGAGACTACCAAACTTCTTCTTTGTTTTATGCGGAACCCGAGGCAGGTGAATCATGCGATATATACAGTTCAGTTCCCCGCTGAAACTCGTATGCAGGACTGGTATCGCAACTAGTTTTTAGCGCTCTTTAGTGGGGAACGTCTCCAGTGATAACAAATGAGAGACGGTGGTACCGGACGAGATGGCTAATGAAACGCCCAATATCCCTTTTGCATATCCCCCGAAGCAGTCCCGTTCCCAATGGCAGCCTCCTAACCGCATCGGCCTCTGTAAAACGCCTCCTGTTCGTGCTCGACCTTGGGTTGCGCCCATGTCGGATCCCGTGGGGGAAATGCATACCCCGGAAAATATGACACTGCACCGGAGACAGTTTCGACCAAAAAATTGTAGGGCAATTATGCTAATGTCCCCGAGCCGGACCACCGCCCCGTAGCAATGACTTCACAACTTGCTTTCATAAGTAGACGCAGATATCTACGTATAGCCGCTCTCATACATAATTTCACAATTGAGATTCTCGATACCAATCTTCCTCGATTTATCCTCATGGCGCAGTTGGTACTGCAGCTTTTGAGGGCAGACTCTCTATGGCATTACATAAAGTTGTATGGCGTAAGCTTTTTGTTGTTCGGTGTCCTTCTCACGCTACTGTATAACCGATATGCCAGCCCGCTTCGCAAATTCCCTGGCCCGTTACTTGCATCTTCCACGAGATTATGGCAAGGTAAGGTCATGACAATCGCTTTACTATCGCTCTGACTAAAAGCATTAACTTAGTGTGGACCGCCTGGACCGGCAAAGCAGAAGAGCACTACATCGCGGTACACCGACAATATGGTATTTTGAACAAAATCAATTCTCAATCCTAAAACTAATCCCATATAATACCAGGTCCTATTGTGAGATTAGGTCCAAACGAGATTTCTATGGCGTCTCCTCTGGCTGCTCTCGATATTTTTAATCCCGGCAAAGGCTTTTATAAGTCTGACTTCTACACTATCTTTCTGCCACCCAATGTTAAAGACCTTTTCACGGAAATTCGCGAGCCTGTTCATGCCGTCATGAAACGGTTTGCCGTGCCGCCTTACAGCCTAGCATCGGTTCAGCAACATACCGAAGACATAGAAGCCCTGCTGGGGAAGTTTCAGTCAAAGATGGACGACTTTGCTTTGCATGATAAATCGGCCGTCGATCTGGGGAGCTGGTTGCACTACCTAGCATTTGATGTATGTGCCACGCCCCCTGTATCCAAATTTATTACAGATTCTGACGATCCGTCTAGGTTCTGGGTCAATTCGCTTTTGCGCACCCTTTTGGATTCCTTGATGCTGGTACTGATATGGATGGATTCTGCAAAACAATCAGGAGATCAGGCTGGGAGAGTGGAATCGTTGGCCAAGTCCCTTTTGTCGAAAAGCTGACACGTTCCAATCCAATTTGGAAATATGTCCCTTTCCTCCCTGAAAACGCAGTCTCGTTACTTCCCCGAACCGCAGAACTCATGCTAAAAAGACACCTGGAAGAGGACGACGATGCTGCTGGAACCGGACCGAAATGTCTGCTCAAGGCACACTTGGAGTCTCACAACGAATACCCTGATAAGTTCTCGATTCAAGACGTGATTTCCCTATCGACGGGAGCCGTGTAAGGATTAGCTTTTCTTGTATCCTCTGAGTGGTCTAGCTTTGACTAACAAGCTACCAGGGCGGCCGGATCTGACTCAACAGCTTCTACGATGCAATCATTTGTCTGGCATGTACTATCAAACTCTAAGATCCATGATAAACTGGTGACAGAGATCCTCAGTAGTCCGCTCTCTGAGATGGTTCAGTATAAAGAGGCACAAGCTCTCGAATATTTCCAAGCTTGTCTCAAAGAGACGATGCGTCTCCAGCCTGCCTTGGGTGCTAATATAACTCGGATTGCTCCTGCCGGAGGTACGGAGATCAACGGGATTTGGCTGCCGGGTGGCACCCAGGTTGCTCTCAATGCATGGGTGTTACACAGAGACAAAGATATTTTCGGAGCCGATGTGGACTTGTTCAATCCTGAGAGATGGTTGTCCAAGGACGAGAATCGTGTGAAAATGATGGAAAGATGCATGTTTCAGGTAAGTGTACCCTCTATTTCGGCAATTTTGAGTCAGCATTGGGCTCTTTCAGCGAAGTTTCTATGCGTTTGATCCGAGTTTGAGATGCGGAGCGAATAGGCTGACAAGGACACTAGTTTGGAGGCGGTTCTCATCTTTGCATCGGGAGACATCTTGCACTCTTTGAAATGAACAAGCTCCTACCCCAGCTATTTCGAAGGTATGAAATGACGCTTGTTAGTCAGAAGCCTCTGGATCATATCACGGGCCTATTCTATCTCCAGAGTGGCCTCTACGTATATCTGAGGAGACGTAAGGAAGTCCACCTGTGAGTAGGTTGTGGGCAACAGCTTGAATATTCTTAGCCACTTGTTTGGTCAAGGGACTTTACGTTCCTCTGTTGAGCGAGAATGCATGATGCAACGGGATGTAAGAGGGCGTGAAGAAGAAACAAGGTACAAGAGTCCTGAATAGTTTCTGTACCCTCTAACATATTGAACCAATGGTGAAACCTGTGTGGAGGCATTACACTTTCTCGGTGCTCAAGTGCTTTAATTGCTCAAGCCCTTCCGGAGTTTATGATTAGCTGCGAAACCAGGGCATGGTAATCGCAGTTATCGCCTTCGTGGAGCTGGGCCACAGAAAGATCATCTCCGAGCGAAATACCCAGACTTCCTGGAAAGTGTTACCAGGGCCGAACGTGGGATGAATGAACCTCGGACGGCGCTATGTATCAGCATACCCGCTCGAAATGGCGACTCAAGGTATGGCCGTGGTCAAGTCCACCTCGTCAACATCATTGAAAGGCCATGTCGGCCATATGCATTCATTCACGCCCATAAAGTTCTCGAGAAGCTCATTTACGGACATATCTCTCGAAGTGCTCAACTCTCCTCCTAAGCTAAACGCTGTCAGCAGTGTTTCCGCACGTCTCTCTATCCGAGGAAGCAACTCACCCAAGTCTTGACCTTATTTCACGTGTGGTCTCTTCGAAATGACGTTTTGTCACCCTGCCGATGTTCAGATGCTGGGTCATGTCGATGAGGAGGCAATATTCATCCGCTTCCATGAGGAGTTCTCTTGAAGGGTCTTTGACGAGCCTCAACAGCAAAATCAGAGCGTTGGCAAGCACATAAGTCGCATCCAGGAAGTTTTGTTGACTAAATAAGCCTTCTTGAGCCATTCTCTTGAGGAGTAAGAGGGACCTTCTGTTGGCTGCTTCGCACAGTTGTACACGTTGCATCAAGCGGTCGCTGCAAGAGCCGAAGGACTTCCAACAAGAGACCACCGACGGCCTTGTCGCAACCAGAATGGTGTACTCATAGCGGAGTCCGAGGTAGTGGACGGCCCGACTATGAGATGCGGCTAACGGGGCCCCGGGCTTTAGATACTCGTGCAATCCGTTCCAAAAGCACTGTATGTCACTCAAAATCTCCTCGGCACGACTGTCAAGGCAGATTTGCGCCGCCCTCGGCCCGTATAGGTCCTGTACTATCATGTAAGTGATCTTGCTCAGCTGAGCGACGGCTCTGTGGTAATCTGGAGGAGTGTATGGAGTCATGTTCAACATCTGAGTATGTCAGCCTGCACGTCTCGTAACTAGATACTGGCTTACATACCGCCTGAGACGGGATATCCAAACTGCAGAATGCGGGATTGATCCCGGGGTTTCTTCCAAGACGATATGCGAGGCAAATTTCCAGGTCGTAAAGAGACCACCATAAACGTTTTCGACTCTCAATAATAGAAGGAGACTTTTCTTCCCAGCACGATTCCTTCAAGTGCAGCCCCAACGACTGCGCAATCCTGGACGCGCAACCAAGAGTGATCCAGGCCAAGTTTCTCTGATCTCTGTTCAGCCGGCACAAAGCCTGAATTCACAGTTAGCGACGTGGTCGTAGTACAGAAGAGAAAAAAGACCGTACGAGAAGCATTAGAGACTCTACACTGGCTATACTTCCTTCCTCAAATGTATACTCAACATGTTCACATGCCTTGGAAAAGAACTCCTCGTACTTGGAGTCAAATGAGAGTATCAAACACAAGAGCATGAATACCCCATGGCTGAGCGGGTGCCTTTGATCCAAGCAGTCGGACATATAGACGTAAAACTGCTCATAGCTCAAAATATAGTTTACGCAATTGATCTCGGCGAAGAACTTCAAGGACGCTCGCTCAAACTCGGCCCTGGGTGGGAGATCTGTAGGCTGAACTTGGTCGACTTGCTTGCTGCCAGTCAGCTCATCGAACCTAAAGACAGAGCCCCCGAGCGCGTCGCTATATTTGGGCCCCTTAGTAGAATGTATTTTGCGGAAGAACGCAGTCCAGCTGGTGCCGCTGTCGTATCCTGAGTCGCGGTTGCGAGTCAGCCGTCTTGAACCAGGTCAAGTCATGCCTCGCATCTTACTTGTAATATTCATCAATTCCACACGAGCCATGCTCTCGGTCGGCTCTGTTTCGCTTGTCCAAGAAGCTCTGGTGCTCTCTGGTGAGCATGTCTGTGCCGCATCGAATGCTGATATTGAGTGGTGGCAAGCATACTCGGCCAGCTTCGCCGCCGAAACTGGTTCAAGGCCGGCATCCCCCTGTTCCAGTTCATTGGGACAGTCATAGCGCTGCAGGTAAGGCTCTGATGTCGTCCGGTCTGGGGATCTTCTTGAAGCAGGCTGTAACTGGACGGCGGTTTCGACGGACGTAAGTAGACCTGCCTCAACTAGAGCTGTTGCTGGTAGTGGACTTCGCAAGCCTGTATTGACCCCACCGACTTGCGTTTGATGATGACAGTCTGCTGCGCTCGATGTATTGTTGGCAGGAGTTGTGTTCTTGTCATTGCTGTCATTACTGCTGCGGTTGTTGTCATCTTGGTGCAGCTGCGTCACAAGTTGCCGGAGGCTCTCCTTATCCAGAACAGCGTCGGGGAGAAAATGCCTGACAATTGTGCTCATCAAATCGTATTGTTCTTTTGAGCTTTGGTAATATGGTCTGCCAGTTTTCACGTTCGAAGTGACACAAGCCCGGCCAGCCTTAAAGCATCGTCTGCAGGTAGCATCTTCCAATCTTATACACTGTCATGCACGAAGCATTGCTTTTTAGCCCGCGGCCAGGCACTGGGTAGGCCTAAGAACAGGAGCTTTACCTTGGTTTTATGTTGACGGCAATGGTCGCAACTGCGCCTGCCCAACTCTCCCTGACCCATTCTTAGGAGACCTGAGGACAAAGCGTAGTCAATGCAGAGGCTCAACCCTGAAGAAAGTCGACACTGCAGGTCCTGGAGGTCCGCTCAACTATTTTCAACTATGCTAGGCAGAATACTGGGGAGTAAGAAAAAGAGAGAAGATTGAAAGTCGCTTGATCCGGGAACCGGATGCAGATGTCTCCGCAAAGGAGGGGAAACCTAGCTAAAATAGTCTCGGCTTCAACGCGGGGTCTCCAGGGCCGGCCTGTCGACGCCAAAGCCTCATAAGGGGTCCACGCCTGCTGGCTGGGGGGTCTAGCGCGCCCACCAGCCCCTAAAAGGATACATTACAGATGGTTTCCTCGTTCGTACCGTATGTTATCCAGCAAAAAAGGGCTGGGAAATCGAAACAGCAAGACTCGGCTATCATGTTCTTTATTCGTTTGCATAGAGCTGCGTAAGCCATGATGAGGATCAGACAGACATTGAACGCATGTGAGCTACAGAGAGCAAAAACCCGACGCGGGCAAGAGGGAGCTTTTGAAGGCCTGCTGCAAGAAGATCAACGGCGACGTGAAATTGTGTGTCCGCCCCCCTCCCCCCTCATGAGACTTCCCACCGGTACTCGTAACTCTTCTCGAGCCCGCAGTACTTGGCGTGCTTAGAGTGCGTTGGTTGCATTGTTCGTAGCCTAGGCCCCAGGTGCTCGCTCGGGTTCTGGCACTGTTCTGGTCCAATTCCTCTTCGCCTTGTTGGCTCGTGTGGCCTGTGGAGTACTATGCTCCTGTTATGACCTGTACGACATGGAGCCCTCACCTTCGTGCGAAGTCGATCGTCCATATAAGATCTGAAGCGGGCAGCCGTGTTGTGGGAACGGAAGCGACTACCCATAGCACAGAGGCATAAGTTTGAAAGGCGATGATCTATTTTAGCAGCCTAGTCACCTCCGGAGCCGCCTGCCATGATTGATCTGGGTCGCATCTTTGCAAGTCGAGGTCGGAACCCATCTTGGCTGTAGGCCCTTTCACGCCAGCGTCTATCGGCCCCCGACCGTCGCCAACACGAAAACGGATCTCGGTCTGACTCCTCTCAGGTCTAGTACACAGACCAAGAACCATTTAATTGCTGTTTACCTGGAAGTCAAGGTCGTTAACCCTGACAGCATAATATTGTTGGTGCTTCCAATGAAGGTCATTATTGTTGGCGCGGGCCTAGGCGGCCTTGCTTGTGCTATATCATGCCGCCGTGAAGGCTTGGATGTGCTCCTACTGGAAAGAGCCCCGAAGATATTGCCTGTGAGCCGCCACAACCGTACAAGTCGTGGGTCGAATTTTGACAGCGGACAAAGATCGGTGCGGGCATTCAGGTGTCCGCGAATGCCTCACGCATTGCCCGTCGTCTCGGCGTCCTTCCGGTTCTCCTCGAACGAGCGATACAGCCTGAAAAACTTGAAATGCGGAGATATGATAATGGCTCAGTCCTGTATATTAGACCGGGCAGAGAGAACATGGAGCAGAAGTATGGATCGCCCTGGTTGTGAGTACTGCTGCCCTTTGTCGCCTTTTTACGGTCAAACAATTGACATGGGCTCTACAGCGTTATCCACCGTGCCGACTACCACGAAGTCATGATGCAAGAGGCCATAAGGTTAGGCGTGGACATTCGCCTAGGTTGTACCGTTGAAGGTCTAGACTTTGATAAGTCACAAGTCTTGGTGCAAGATGGAGAGACATTAAGCGCGGACGCAATCATTGGTGCCGATGGTGAGTCGTCAGTCGCAATGTTTCTACTTAAATTGGTGATTTTTAACCTGAGTTTCCAGGCTTATGGTCGACCACGCGTGAAATTTTGCTGGGTCATCAGTCTCCTCCTGTCGAAACCGGGGATCTGGCCTACCGGGCTACTTTAAGTCGAGAAGAGATCGAAACACTGGACGACCCGGAGGTGAAAGCGATCTATGACAGACAGGTAGTTACCGTGTGGCTTGGGCCAGACAAGCATTGCGTCCTTTACCCTATAAGTCAGGGCAAGGCCTATAACCTAGTCCTTCTTCGACCGGATAACATGCCTGCAGGAGCTCGAACGGTTCAAGGAACGGTTGACGAGATGAGACTCAGCTTCGAAGGCTGGGATAGCGTGTGAGTTTGCAGTCTATGATTAGGTTTTTCGAACAGTTGGCCGAGACTTAGACAGGCTCACGAAGATTCTATCCCAAATAAATTCAGTCCTGAAATGGAAGCTTTGTCACCATGAGGAGCTCGCCACTTGGACCAAAGTACGCCACATCCTGACCGGTTGAGGTTCCTGAGGGCTGACAATCAATACAGGGCTGCATCACCCTTCTAGGAGATGCCTGTCACCCTACCCTCCCCTATCAAGGTCAAGGAGCTGCTATGGCAGTCGAGGATGGCGCTGTATTGGGCAGGTTGCTTGGGTTGCTGAATTCTGAGCCACTTTTCAAAGGAACATCTGCAAAGTTTATCCCGGAGATTTTGAATCTATACGAGGCCATCCGGAAATCGCGAACTACGATCAATGTTCAGGGGGCGACAGCGAATCGGTTCTGGTACCATCTGGCGGATGGACCTATGCAAGAGAAGCGCGATGTTGCTTTGCGAGGAGGACCCGACAGTACTGGTTGGTGCTTTCTGCGCCCAGACTACTGGAATGACCTTATCGGCTTTGATGCAGTTGCAGATGCTGAGCGTGCTTTTGAAGAGTGGCTATCTCAAAAAAGGGAGTCTATCCAGTAGGCAGAGGACCAGAAAGCCAGGCCTATGGCCTAAATTTAGAAAAGACATCTCAATCGGGCGATGACATGCGACATCCCCTGCTTCGCTCGTATTAAAGGTAACGTATGTTGTGCCCGGCAACGCAAACTATGTCACTTGATTCATTGCTTGATCGTGCTTCAACATAGTGGATCTGACTGCCTGTGTTTATGAATCGCGCTATGTGTGAGGGCGATGCTGTACTTAGCGGTTCCAAAAAGTGATTAGCTTGAGGAGGTTCACACAGAAGACTGGAGATTGGTAGCTGTTCTCTATGCTAGAATCACTGTTAGAATCAGTGCTTTAGAAACTATTTGCTCTTGCAAAACAAAATGCTATCTCTCGATCCTCCTGGGGCTTCCCTGGCGACTGCACTGGAGCGTCTTTAGATCGTAGGTTGCAAAACGGTCATATCTCTCCCGATTTCGACGTCCTGGCTCGGACCCCGTCGGGTGATGGGTGGCCCTCGAAAAAGAGCCAGCACCTTCCTCGTTACTCGGCCACCGAGCTCCGTGAGGGTTTCCTCTTGGCGTATCGTATGGAAGCGCATGTTTGACGCTTCCTCGTGACCTGTCCCTTAGTGATTGTGATCACCTCATGATAGAACAATAGCTGTCAACCTGTCGAATTCAAATACAGCGCTGCTCTCATAACAGCATTCCAACAATGGCTTTGATTGACACAGTCATCCGTTTTCGTGATCGCGAGGGCGAGCGAGACCCTCTCAAAGCGACCTGGTATCTAATGGCCGTATGCATAGAGAGAGTTCTCAATCTGGATTTGACTAATTACTCTTCAGACCGCTGCTCTTACAGGTGCTGGGGCTGGATCAGCCGTTCCCTCAGTATACCGTGCCGCTACAACCGGCCTGCCTCTCGAACTGGCCAGGCTGGTCCAACGGAGATTGAAAGAGGCAATCCTCAAATCGACGATCTTTGTGGGAGTACCACGCTCGGCAGGGGCAGCGTTCGCACTGTTCCGAGATTTAAGTGACGAGGAAATCGATCATTATGGACCCCGGTAAGCTGTGAACATCGATCGAGGTGAAGCTCTTTGGCAGAGTTTTACTAACATCGTCCCAACTTCCAGGTTCGAGTCATACGACGACCCAGAGGAACAAGATAAAAGGGAAGCCCGCGGGAAGAAGTTTTTTGATATTCTTTGGACTCCAGCAGGGGCTGAAGGTGTTCGAGCGACTCTGAAGAAGTACCAACCAGACTTTTGTAGGCACAAAAGCCTTGGAGACTGAAAATACCATGCTGACGCAGCAATAGATCTCTTAAACCAGAGGCTCATTTACGAATACTGGGGTTCTGAAGATAGAATTCTTAAAGCCGTGGAGACGGAGCTTGTCGCTATTGCCAGTCTGGTTGCAATGAACTGTCCTGAACAGCTAGTTTGGCATCTGAAGGGAGCCATCCGTCACGGGGCCACAACAAGCCAGGCGCAATTTGCTTACGATCTGGCACGCGCAGCCTCAAAAGCTGCGGGCTGCGAGCTCAGTGGTATCCCGAGGTGGGAGGATTTGCATTGGGAGACACCAAACTCTGCTGAAGAGGAGATTCTGAACTGATTCACACCATTAACTACGCCTAAATAATACGTACCTTGCGTTTGACGTGATGCAATAGTCGAATAGTCGAATGACATGCCGTGACTTTCGAGATCCCTGGTAGCCTTCTGTAAATACGTAGGTACGTGAGTCGATTTTCGAGCAACTGAAAGGCAATATCTAATGTGCAGCAATGGAGCCCTTTGAGGAATTGTTACCTCAAGCTCCCCTGCTCCCACAAAACTCAGGTCTTCCAGCAAGTGTCTTTTACAAAGACTTATCCAATTCTAGGTTAGGCTAATAATCTGGAATTCGAAACACACCTCTTGGAATTATCTATCTCAGCTTGTTATGCGACGCCATCTTATGTGGCTCTCTTTGCCTTGCTCGTAGAGCCTCTCTCCTTGCCATCGAAATTCCCGTGGCAATAGTGTTCCATATAGGTTTCTTCTGAAACTCAATTACCACATAGAACATAACTTGTTGTGCCTTGCATGAAACTCCAATCGACTATTCATAATCACATCTGGGAGGCACCTAGTCCCTGGACATTGTTCTGATTGACAATACCCACAGTGCCTGAGAAGCCCCTATTTAGACCAGCTTCCACCAAGTCGGAATTGCCATCCAATGTTAGATTTCTCCTTGTTGACGGAGTCTCTAGTCCTGCTGCAAACTCTCAGGATTTCTTCTCAATTGATCACGGCGTTGTCCCCCAGAGTGGCACGCCATGCGACATGGTCGTCCGGCCGAATCAAGGCCACCCGTCCCTCCCACAGTTAGGGAATATGATGCTCATCGGGAAGATAGCTCTTCTTCAGGGGCAAACCCAGTGTACCAGCTACATTGCCGAACACAGACGCAATGCTACCGCTTTGGGAGAAATCGACAATCGACAATCGAGAAGTCCATGCCGGGTATCTGCCTCATCCTGACTACGGATGGCTCCACCATTAGAAAAGAAGATGTGCCAATACTGGCCTTGGCGCTGCAATAAAGACAAGTCTGGATTTGAAGTGTACCATGAACACTGCCATCAGTATATTACAAACGTCAATATGTCAGCTTGAAATATGCCAATATTGTTGCTCACACGGGCCCGCCAGTCAGAACGCCGCCGATAGACTTTCGTACATGACTTCCAGTACCATCGCAGGCAACAGAATATTGACTTCGCACAATATGCTTTTGTCCCGTAGTGGCATCTTCCAAAATGCTTTTAACTCCAAACTTCGGATTCGGCCAACCTCTCGAATTTGAGACCTAGACCTTGAGATAGCCCTAGTCTGTTGAAAAGCTCCATGCTTCTGCAGTTAGCGATATCCATCTTGGGCCACTTGGTAGTTTTCAGGCTCCTTTCTGCAAGGGTGCGTCTAACGCCATGACCAGTCAGCTGGAACGCGGTTGTCGAGCCAGCAGGGCCCGCCACCAACAACCAGCACCGGAGTCTAATGCTCAACTGCCTGTTATCCGAATTGATCAGCAGGTCACGATAGACGGAATCTCTGTAGGCCATACTCACGGCATCGATATAGCTAATGGTGCCTTGTTCAGTGGTCTAACAGTTCTACTTCCTTTTAACCAGCCTGCACGAGTGATACTTCCTGCGTGCTGTCGGGCTGCACAGGGGAGAGAGCATCTGGAACAGAAAACAAAACTCTGCTGCTAACACCAACGTTGGTGAGGAACGGACTAGTGGCTTCATCCATGTCGTGGCTCCTCCAATTACTGTGCAATCTTGGCCACAGATCTCTGGAACACGAGATGCTGCCAAGGATCGCGCGTCCTGAACCGAATTTGCTGGGTTTCGGCTTTGGCTTCCGAGACCGCTTACATCGGGGCCCGAGATGTTCTGATTGGGCCGAGTATCGCCACCTTGTCTTACGAACCAACGGAGCGTTGTAATCTTCGATGAAAGATGACGGCCTAAATTAGCTGCTCTCACTTACAGAGTACTCACGCCACAGAGGACAATATTTTTCAATAGTCAGTACCCCTGCTTACCCAGGTCAGGCGATCAGATCGCTGCTGCGTTACTGAGCCATCTACAATTCAGCAAATGCACCTCTAACAATTCACTGAGGGCAACCTGGAAGGGATGGTCAGGCTTCGGACTGAAAGGCCTATGGAGGCATCGAACATGCGGGAGATGCAATTTCGATGTGGTATGAGCATTGGCCTATATGAAGAACCCAGACATCTTCAACGAGCGGATCGAATGGTATCGTTAATAATTTAAGAACCTTAGTTGAATAGCAGGCGCGTTCGCCAAGTTGGGAGCTATATTGATCTATGGGTGCAATTGTGGTTACCCTAAAACGAAATATCCCCTTTCGACGAGTTGTACACGCAAGGCCAAGGTGGGAAATGTAGTCTCTAAGGACTGTATCTACCCAACACAATGATTCAGGTTAATAGTTGACTATGCAGCCACATTTTAGAGGCACTGCTCCACTAATTGTGCATAAAGTCTTGCTTGCTCTCAACGGGCATTAGATAGATTTCACGGCCTTTGCTCTGTATATACTTAAGTCCACTCAGCATTTTCAACTATATGCTAATAATCCCATATAATGTATTCACAAAATACTCTCATCCTAGTATGAATCGCGACGTTCCCGGAAGTCGGCTTTGGAAAGGAAGAATGGGAAAGTGCCAACGATGCTCCACTCTTGACGTGGAAAGACCGGAAGATGTGGGGGGAGGACCAGCTCATGATAAAACGACTGGCATGTCCTGAAAACGGCCCAGAAGTGAACTCCTCTCCTATAGAGGATTATTTGTTATTGAGCTATAAGAACTCAACCCTCCAATTCAGCACACCCGAGTCGTTGTCAATTATATAACTCGCTATTATCCTCCTGTTACAAGGCTCTTTCTCCACTACACGACACACGACATGACTATTGAAGTGGCTGCCGTTGTCGCCTACCCTCCTCAGGGCACGCCAAATTGGCGATATGAGCCAGTGAAGCTTAGAACGGTCAAAGACCACGAGATTCAGATTCGCATGGTTTCAACTGGCATCTGCCATTCAGACATTTACGAGTCGAATATCCCTGATAGGACCGCTGGCATTCCGTACCCATGGATCTTCGGGCACGAGGGCGCAGGATATGTCGAAGCAATTGGGGACGGAGTCACCCATGTAAATATCGGAGACCCAGTTTTGCTTTCTTATGATTATTGTCATCATTGTGATATCTGCAGGAGTGGCCAACCTGCATATTGCCTGGAATGGCGTAGTCGCAACCGCGCTGGCGAGAATGGCGTCTTCGAGACCAAAGACGGCAGGGACGCCGGTGGCAAGTTTTTTGGCCAATCGAGTTTCGCTTCGACAAGTCTTGTCCAGAAGACAAGTGTGATCAATGTCAAGAACCTGGTCCACAGTGACGAAGAGCTCAAGCTCTTGGCGCCTCTGGGATGCGGCCTGATGACAGGCGTGGGAGCCGTGCTGAATTCAGCAAAAGTGCAGCCCTATGACATTGTGATGGTCACTGGAATTGGTGCCGTTGGCCTTGGAGCAATTGCAGCCGCAAAAGTCCTCGGTTGTAAAGAGATCGTTGCTGTCGACCGCGTGGCCGCGCGTCTCGATGTCGCCAAAGAATTCGGCGCCACGAAAGTGCTCAACACCTGTAGCCCAGCCACAAGCCTGGTCGAAGATGTGCGAAAGCTCGTTAACAACCAGCGCATATCGTTCGTTATTGAGACAACCGGCGCCCCGGGGGTCATTGTCTCGGCCTTAAGAGCCATGGGCTGGCACAGCAAGCTAATTCAAATCGGCATCCCACCTTCTGGCGCCGAGCTCAACATAGACTTCCAGGAATTCTTTGCAGCGAACAAGGTGATCCAATGTCATTGCCTCGGAGATGAAGCACCAAAGACCCTCATACCCAAGATGTTGGCGTGGTGGAGAGATGGGAAGCTCCCTGTGGAGAAGATTGTCAAGTTCTATCCGGCGAAGGATGCGCTCAAGGCAGCTCACGAGATGGAGAGCGGGAAGGCGATTAAACCTGTTCTTATCTGGTAGATGAGAGATTTCATAGGAAGAACAAGCCATAAAATTTCCGAGGCAGGTATTATTTTTGTACACAGAACGGGAGTGGATCTGTTGCTTGATTGTGTTCTCTGCCCCTTCCTGTTTATATACACTTTGGCCTGTAATCTGAAGGCCATTCCTGAAACCTCCTATTCTGTTGCCATGCCGTCGCAGGTCGGTGAGAATAAACGTTGTTGAGGTAAGTGCCGTAGTTAGTGTGACAGCTAGCGTCTCGGGTGGCTTGTCACAGTGCCTATCTTGCAACCCTGTCAACAATTATTCTACCAGAGAAGTTTTCTATGTCTTGCAGCGACTGTGCAAGACAATATTTGAAATCATACTTCTAAAGACAACCCTCGGGGCTCTCGGTCCCAGGCTATGATCTAATCCTCGTTATAACCTCTCGAGCAAATAAAGTGTATTTCAATTTGAAGTCTCTATTTGGGACCCCAGTGTCAAGGGTCTACCGTCTGTTTTGAACGTCTTGGTCATGACGTCCTCCATTAACGTGGCGAAACCCGTGCACGTACGGCTCAGCGCGCAGATTTTAACCTATGTTTGTGAAGAGTAGACGTCCCAGGATCATCCCTTATGTTGAAAGCAGGGGGAGGCCCTTGCGGCCTTTGGTGGCCGCTTTGACTCTTAGCCTACTTCGCGGTGTTGATCGTAGCTATACGCGATAGTTGGTAGGTAGCAAGGACAACTTAGCCAGACTCCACGTCCTCGTTTTAGTCTCCCTTAGTCGGATATAGCAGGCGAGATATGAGATGTGCTTGACTGTACGCCAAATCGTACCAATGTGACCTTCAGCTTAAGTCGACATCGACTGAGAGTCATTCCCACTGTTTGTGCTGTGCACCATAACAAGTGGACGCAGACCGGGGCGATGCACGACGGCCTCCGTCGTGCATACGTCTAGCAGCAACTTACGACAAGAGCTGAAGCTAGTATCCGCGAATTCCTGCAATGTCAGCGTTTACCGCAAGATACATTAAATATCTCGCGCCACGGCCTTGATTCCCGGCTGAACAGTGTCGCCATCTAAACACACGCTCCAAATCACTCTCAACATCCACAATATTACTAGCAACCTGGCAAGATGGTTCCATTAATTTCGAACGGGGCGAGGTACATCAAACACTGTCGATCTAGCTTCTGGAAACGAAATTCCACTCCAGAACAAGCTTAGCTGGCTACGGTAGGCTACCCCTTCACCACTGTCTGTGGAAAGCGCTGTCGTTAGCCTGGAAAGACAAATAGGCATATCGCGACTAGACAAGCCGCGGACCAGCTGGCGTTCAGATTTGGCTTGACTCGCCAACACTGGAAGCTGGCAGGGGGGGGGGGGGGGCCACAACTTGTCTGCTGGAAACCTTCACAATGGGGTCTGCTGCGGCAGACGAGGAAATGAGTCGACAGACGTTGCAAGATGGGTCAGCAGACTTGCCCTGCCTGACCTGTCGTGGATTGTTCTCCGCATACTCCATAGATGGACCTTATAGGGATCCGAAGACAGGGTACTGCGTGGTTGCAGCATTCGACGAACCGGGAGAGGTAATCGCTAGTTTCAAGAGCATGGGCATTCTATGCCGAGTATTTGGCGGACACGGAGGCTACAGAGACCAAAATATTGCGCGACCTCTTTTGCCAAAGGTGACCTCTGGCAACGTAGTGGCGATCCCCTCTCGTGCTAGACCGACTCGGCTGGGTCACCTTCGTCGATTGAATAGGCGACACTTTTCGATGGAAAGGCGAAAACCTCAGTGCAGATGAAGTGCGAGCCTTCATATCGGGAACGCAGGACGTATGGGACGTCGCGGCGGTTGTTAAACAGCTCAAGAGCTACGATGGGCAGGTCGGTGCCGTCGTCATTACTTTCGACGGCTCACCCGATAGCGAGATCGAAGGCCGATTCATAAAGGGATTATATCACGCTCTGAGGGGAAAGGGTCTGCCAGATTATGCCCTGCCCAAGCTTGTGGCCGTTACAAATGAGCTTGTGGCAGTCGGCGACACGTTCAAGCATGCCAAACAGAATTTTAAGGGCATAGATTGGAGTCCGGCCACCTTGGACAAGGGTACACGGAAGTACTGGCTCGATTCTGAAGCTAAGACGTCCAAACCGATCAATGCGAAGAGCGGGGCCACCATCGAAAAGGGCCAAGCCAAATTATGAGAGCAGTGGAATGGCTGACCCAACTGTCATCGGAAAGGTGGCAACGTGCTTGGACAATACTTCCGGCCAAAAGAAGTCTTCACCCAAAAAGGCCCGAGGCCGACGAACCTTTACGAACCTCAGACCTCTGTCTTTCCGGACGAGCCTCCCAACAAGGGGGTAATATCGCAGGCGTTGTTTCATAATCCGACAGCCGAGTACATATTCAAGTTCTTTGTCTGAGAAGGGCCTTTAGCTAGTCATAGAACGATTTCGCGGAGCTGGAAACTTTCTCAGCTCACTACCCCGAGGAGAGCTAATATCTCCTGCCATGAGCAGCTCAGATCAACCATTACAGATCTTCTCAAGATCAAGCATCCAGGCTTGCTTGCCGGCACGAATGTGGCAACTTGGAGATTTCCCACAGCAACCGAGAAAGTTGGCATATCTTCAACAAGCGTGTCATTAGGGGAAAGCCACGCTCCTCCAGCTCTATCGAAAAACTTCGTCCGTCGGAGGCCGTCATTATCGTGATGGCAGTATCAGACACAGCCTGGTTCTCAATCACGATAATTTCCACCTTAAGAACGTTCGTCCCGACTGTTCTAGAAACGGCAAAGCCATCGCCATACCGGACTTGCCAGGTGCTGCCAGAGATGCTCTGAAAAGTGAGTGATTCGAGAAGATCGAAGAGGGTCGCGTTGGGGACATCATTGGCGTCCGGTATAGCTGTGGACCACACCCAAGTGTCCGCTGAAGCTGAATCAAAGTTCTAGAAATGTCAGTAAAGGAACCGAACCTTGAAGCCGCCTGAAGAACCATCTGCAAGGTTTGTTTCGGAGTTCCGAGCTGGATTAAAAAAGTATAGAACGTGTTGTTTTCCTTGTCGCCGGCACTTCTGCACTATGGAGATTAGCGGCGTCGTGAGGGCGAGGGAGATTGTCATATACCGAGGTGGGAGTCCCATTATCCTGGCGTTCGAGGAGAATATTGTTATTGTTCCGGTGGTAGGAACTCGGAGTTGTCATTGATGTCGTGTTTATGATAGAGATGGATCACCGACTTGGTGCCATCAGCATGGTAGTTGTTATTGCAGTGGATGGGCGCCCGGTTGACACCAAGAACTGCTCTGGCGAAAGGGATGCTGACTCGGAGGTGCAGAAGAATGCTTCAGGAGGGAAAAGTTCGTCATAGGTGCTATTGATATGCCGTTCGGTAAGAGTGGATTGCAGAAAGATAAGATGAGGACCGTCAGCCGAAAGGAGGTTGTGGCAGATTTGGGGCGAGGTAGGGAGAAATCGAATAAGACATGCTGCCAACAAGAAAAAAGTACTTGCCGGAAAAGGGATGACTTCAGATGCATTGTGACAACGCAACAGGAGATTATGGAGGAATGGGATCAACTCAGGTCGGGACTGCAAAGGTTTTCCCAGTGCAAGACACCAAATAACAAGCACTCAATGACGAGTTTAACCGAGAAAGCTCTTCTTAAATCCTCCTGCGTAGGCTTCACTGTTGTTTGGGCTTGATGTCAATTCCAGCTCTGTCACACTTGCTAAGAGGTTTCCCTTTCCACTCCTGGAACGCTGAATCACCATCTCCGAGCCGAGAAACCAAGCGCCAGGAGGAAGTAGCAGTCGAGCCAGCAGAATGTTTGTGTAACGTGCCATCAGCTGATACCTTATATTTCAGCCATGCAGACTCATCCGGCTTCCAAAATCGTCGCTAGATAGCCGCCCATGAGCCTCGAGTCGTAGAGAAACCCGGACAGTGCCTGGCGAGCCTTTGCGGTACATTCAAGTGCGTATTGTGAAGCACGGCGCCCGAATGTTTGACTTAGGTCGGCAGGATCACTTGCCACCGGTCGCACTTGGCTTGCCATAGCGCCAGTAAAGTTCAGCCAGACCAAGAGGCTGCCGTCGACCTTAGGTGAGGCCATCTCGACGTGCTGTAACAACATGAGGAAAATACTTTCGTGACTTTTCAAGGGCAGGGCCGAATACGACTGGGACATCACCTGTTCGAGTCGATCTTCAGGGTTCAAGTTACTCTTGGACGCCTCCGTGTTGTCCAAGATGAAGATAATGTTCAGGAACAACAGTGCAGCGAGAATAATTCTTCTGCCGAGGACCAAATCGCGGTCTTAGACATTGTCCTCCGCAGACCTCTGCACATAATCAAGAACCATCAAAAGATAGTCACGTCCTTCTGCTAGGCATAAAATAGTACGAGAGTCTTCAATAGCGGCCTCGGTGGAACCATACAGGTATTCGAAACGACAGGATGAAATGTGGCCGCAGGCTCGAAGTATCCGTCTCCCATTTCTCTCGTTGGCTGTCATTGGGTCTGATGCTTCCTCCGAGGACAGGCATGTCGTCTTCGGTATGTCCACGGGCCAATTGAGCATCAAGACACGATCTTCTAGTGAGCGAAAAGGCAAAGAGCAAGAAAGCCAGAGACAAGTGGAAGCACTGCTTACAGGCAAGATCGAAGAATCCTACTCTTGATAACTGTACGCCCATGGGACAAGCAATGCCAACTCTTCTACCAATTCTGTATCTTCTTTGCGGAATGGAAGCTTGGTAAATTTGTGTTTGGCGCGTCAGGTTGTGTCTCTCGTGTTGGATCTTGCTTACTTGAATCAACTCCTCAACAGACTCTGCAGAGGTAGTCATCGACAAGAACTTCACGGGCTCAGAGTTCTTTGGCCACCGATAACCCTAATATATTTTTGCATTAGTTCCTGTAAGTGAAGGCCACTGACGAGTAGACGGATCAATGAAAGTATTGAGCGATAATACGCTTCGTATACTAGGCGTATCGATGGAGATTTAAAGCCTTTAAAGGGGTTTCAAGGAGCTGAGGAGGGGGTTGAGGTTCTTATACGCTCCTCCCCCACTAAGTACCTTGGCCCTTTTGTTGCGTTTATTGTGTAGGGCTCAGAGTGAGTTGTAGCTGTCCTAATATAGTAATGATAAATATAGAACGATACTTGATCGCCAGAGCTACTTCCATTAGGCTCCCTAGCAATTGGTTACGACAGAACAAGGAATGTATGCGCAACGCTGGCCCTTCTCGCTGCCAGTCTGGTCGCCGTTTTATTAACTCCTTTTGCTTTTAACCTTGGGACAAAGGGGGACGCCGCCCCGGAACAACCGCGGCACTAACTTGTCTTCGGGACATACATTATCCGGAGCCGAGGGTCTTGGCCCTCCCAGGCTCTCCCTAGCGCACCCCCGCAAACCGAGGACACCCCTCCGGGGTTACTCTTTCGGGGTTAGTTGTTGCTTGGGGTTGCCGCACCTCCGGAGAACCTCTTTTTCAGTACAGGAACAGCAACATCCGTATTATTGGCCACGCCTACTGGCAATGGCACTCTTGAACTTGTTTCTGTCTGCTGTACGAGCTGCTCATACTAGTACGATATTGGGCCCGCTTGAACAGAAAGTCCGCAGCTGCGACTGATGGCTGCATCTCCTGGTATGTCCTGCCCGATCTCATTGATTCTCCTGCGATCGCGCTAGAAGAAACAAAAACAAGGGAAGCTGATGCATTTGACACCAGGTCCAGAAAGCCCTAAGTCTGTCGAGCGACGTCGCACCCATGCCTGCAAGGTCTGTCAGAGGGTCTTCGTCCGGGCAGAACATCTCCAGCGTCACTTGCTCTCACGTATGTCGCCCTAAGCCCCCGAGTGGCTGTTCAAGCCTGACCGCGCCCTGAGCAGATGAAAACCATAAACCCAACAAGTGCAAGGCTTGCCATGCACGATTTGCCCGCTCGGACGTCTTACTGCGCCATACCAGGAAATGTGTACCGTACTCACGCATGATTGAAGCCGCAGACGGGGACAATGGCGATACAAACAATGACGCAGGGACTGTGGCCAGAGTTCAACAAGCCGGATGCGCTCAAAATTCTGATCCACCGCGTTTCCGGTACGGCTAGCAGCGCGATACTCTTCGTCGAGACCACGGCGAGACTAATCTTTCCTTGAACAGGTCCCCCGATACGGATCACCTGCAACACGAGCAGACGGGCGTCACGAAGCCTCAGCAGCAGCACGAAGACACCAACAATCTGAGAAGCACCGCCAACATTCACACTAACGATGCTTCTAGCCGGATGGATCACATGCAATTTCTCTCGGGAGTATGTGAAGCTCTCGGTCGTGTAACGCGGGTGCTGACCAGAAGAAGATGACCAGGCCTTCGAATGACATGTACACTCGGATGAACAATTTCGACCCTTCTCAATTCAATGTATCTATGTCGGATCCAAATATGATGCGTCTCGACGCCCCGAGAAATTCGACCACGCTTGCACTACCCGACACGAACAATCTCAACCTGTGGGGGCCAGCACGTTCGTCTACGGATGTGAATCAAGGGCCGGACGCAAACGCGAGCAATTCTACATCGAATGGCGTTCTCGACACCCAGGCGCCGGCCGCTCCGCTGTCAGGCTCCACACATTCTTTCTCAGCAGGCTCTGCTTTTATGGATACAACTGCCCAGTCGATGGCCATGCCAGAACTCTCTCAGGCAATGTTTAACGAGGATCTCATGTTTCTGGAAGATTTTCTCCTGCCCGAGTTTGTGGCCAATGCTACTGGATGTACCACGCCGATTCCTGCGGACTTCGACCCAGCCGCCTTACAGTCTCTTGCCGCCAGGAATGAAGCCGATATTTCCGAGGCTCGTCTGTTCCTACCAAGAGCGACAGACGAAGCCCGAGCCCCTCACCTTTTCGATATTAGCCCCCAAGATGTAGATCGGTTTCAGAAAGTCATCTTGAGTACGCGTCTATTGAACAACTTCTCCTTTCCACGGCGTTCCCGCATATTGCGGTGCCTATCTGCCTATTTCGACAGTGTCGACCCGCATGTACCAATTGTCCAACAAGCTACCTTCAGCTTGTGTGGTACAGCCCCGGCGTTGGTGCTCGCGATGCTCGGGATGGGAGCTCTCATTACGTCTGAAACTCAATTTGCTGTATCGGCGTACGAGGCAGCCTGTACCCTACTAGACCACGAGACTAAAGATGAGGTCCGCGCATCGTCGCAATTTGAATTTGGGCCAATTCAAGCTCTGCTGCTCTGTGTCCACTTTGGGGCGTTCAGCGATGACCAGAGTTTTGTCCAGCGCTCTCAAGCCCAACTCAACCTTGTCTCCAAGATGCTGAGGCTTGGTTTGGACGATTTAAGTGACAAACGAGCCGAGTCTGAGCAGGACTGGATAACTTGGTCCTTCATCGAAACTTTCAGCCGGTTAGCGTCGTGGAGCTGTTCACTGAGCGCTGTCCTTTTTGCGTACGACGGTTCCTTTCAAACAAATACTCAACATTTCTTGCGACATGTACCACTCCCTCTTGACGAGGATCTTTGGAGGGCTCGTTCAGCACAAGAATGGTCATCCCTTGGGGGGCTTTCACGCCCACATGGCGCTCTCAATTTCTTGACGTTAGCCGAGTCTCTGCTCCAGGGAAAGCCTATTCTCGAGCAATTAAGCTGTTTCGGCTTGTTCTCGATCATCGGATGGTTTCTTCTCTACATCTGCAACCACGAACGGATGAAACTACTGGTCGGATCGCTCGACATATTCGAGACCGAGTTCACCAGCAAAATAGATGTAGGGCTTGGGGCCTGGGAAACCTTGACCCGCCGACATCTACGGACAGGCCAAGTCATGTTCAGACAGTTGAATCCCCTGATCTCGGACAGCTTCCCCCTCCTCGGATCCGCTTATTACCACCTCTATGTGGGCGATGAATTGCGCACTCTGAAAGAGATAGCTGGCAAGCAAGCACCGGCTGGTGGAATGCCGACATCACAGACACTTCCCGAATTCAATCCGCGTCCTGAAGCGTACAAAGCAGTGCGATATGCTGCAAATTCGTGGCTTGTCCGTGCTAAACTCGGCATCAGCCACTTCCAACAATCTCCTGATGTATATGGTCCTCACGGAGCCATGGGGGCATACGAATCCGGTAAGTCTTCTAGCATCTCGAGCTCGTGGCACTTGGCGCACCTTCTTCCGTAGAGTATGGCTACTCCTATCACGCTTCAATACTAACTTAGACCCAATGGTGCAGCACTCATTCTGTCGTGGTGGCTCTCTGTCGGCCAACCAGCACAGACTCCAGACGGATTGACCATTGAAGACAATGCGTCAGTCAGGGCGCTAAAGGCGCTGTTGACGGAGGTCATTGCCGAAGTTGAGGATCAAGATATCTATTGCAATGATGAGATCGCTCGCGCACTCGCGCCCCTGATTTTTTGCCGTCGGTCGATGGATAGATCCGTCTTCACCTGTAAGTCTCTCCTCATATCTTCTGGGTGAGCTTTGACTAAATGGCCAGACACCCGAACTCTGCGACACGCGCTTGATACCTTCCAGTCACACATGCGCGGGAAAACATTTGCCCGCTGAAGACGGAGATTGACCCTTGATATGGATCCGTGAGGGCTTCTAAGAGCTTTTGCTTTGCGCCTTTGGCAGCAGGAGAAAATTGCGTTCCCGGGTAGCGTTATTGGAGGTATATGCATCCCGCTTATGCGTTAGCGACCCGCTCGCTTCCGGCAAGGCGAGGTCTCCGTGAGGGTCGTGAGGGTTGAGGCATTGGTGTAGCACATTGCCGACTCCTGGATGATGGCAATTGCGGCGCGGGCGACCCGGCCTTTGGAGTCATAGCGGATGCACCGGACCACTGTAATTAGCCTTGTCATCCAGCCATGAAGAAGTGGGCGGAGACATTGACGTGAGATGGCCATTTGGATCGGCCTGCCCGGTCTGTTCGAGGATATCTTCCATCCGACACCTGCACTGTAGATCAAGACAGCGCCGTCGACCCTTCTCAACCGCCCCATGGAGAGGCTTCAGAGGCTGCTAAGATGGAGGACGTCATGATGGTAGCGTACTAACACACAAGCTGCCGTTTCTCGAAGTTGGCCCACGCTCCCACGGGGAATTACGGTCGCATCAAAACTCTTCACTTATCTCAGTGGACCACGGTTTCAAGCAACGTTTACCCACAGAGCTACATTGCGAGGCCGAGCTATATCGTGCCAGAACATTATTGGCACCATACGACGGACATTATATATAGAACCCAGCCGACAACTCAAATTAAGGTGGGGGAGAAGCCGTTGAGACAGCCTCCTTGGCAAATTCCTTTTGCCTGGTGCACATAGAAGTCGACTTCCGTCGAATCGAGAGGTTAGATCTTGTTCCCTTGATAAACTGACACAGCTTCTTGGTCAATTGGCGAGGATAGCTGCCAGCCTAGAGAGCGGAGATAGTCCTCTTTCCCATATGATGGAGCAGTTCGCCCACTATCTCCATCACTCTACGTCGTCTGACGGGATCCTGCCCACAGACGGATCTCGATCAGACTAACAAGATCCAAACATTCATTTGGGACAGGCGGCTGCACCGGCGGTTTCTCACAGATTTGTCGCTGCGAAAATGGTATTGATCTCACAAAGTCGAGGCTTCAAACTTACCCGGAGAGGTGTAATTTCCAGCGAGGCGAATCTTTCCAATTCGCCTGCCCTTGCCACTGCTAGCGTAAAGAGGCATCCCCGGCCACCGGCATTTTGGCGCGATACGCCACTAACTACAATAACGCCCCGGGCGGGGAAATCGGACTGACTTGAATCTAAAAACCCCGTCCTTTAGATCTTGTTACGCAATTCGCTACGTAATCGACCATCAACCACAACTTTTTCCCCGTTAGAAGAGGGTCGGCCCCTCAAGTGCTAGACAGCTTCGGAGAAACAGCTCCCCGGGACGCGAATACGGACTTCTAAATCCTTCGCTACACGTTGGATTATATGGTAAGATAAAAAGCTGAGCATACAGAATGCGCAGTCTCGAATTCAGGTTCCAGCGACGGCCGGAAACTGCACTCTATTTGTATCGTCCAGGAAAATTGGCAGGACGTCTGCTTGAAATCCCGGATAGCAGTCCGATTCCCCGATTTCTAGCGCGGGAAATAGTGACCACAGTTAGATTGATACCCTGACAATCTCATGTCCATTGCATCGCGTGAACGGTCTATCATCCCCCACTAACTCAACGTAAAGCGCAGAGGAACTTGATTACTAGCTCAGATCCTGGAAAGAGCAAATTCTCTTCATGGCTCCCCCGGTTCTTCCTACCGGCAATGGAAGCAGCATCGAAGTATAGACTTGTGAAAGATTGGATCATTCTCTGCGAGCCGTCGAGCGACGAATCGCTCCCGGAGAGCTTCCTAACTGTGTCACAGATGATCGAAGAATGCCGCACTTCATCAGAAGTAGATACTCTCTCGTTCACGCAGGGACAAGCTTCTCGTCATATCGCCTTCCTTTGGCATTACAGCGGCACCTTAGGCGCTCCTAAGGCCATCATGATATCTTATTTCAATGAGACTGTAAACCTTCTTCAGCTCCAACTATTCCACAGACCTATGAGGGACGTCTTCGCGCCTAACTGCCACGATATCACCCTGCGCTTAATGCTTTTTTCTCACATATGCGGTCTCGTTGCTGTGTGCCACATCTCGACATAACAAGGTGACAGCGTAATAGTCATTCCGAAGTTCGAATTTGAAGACGTTTCTGGCTTCGATTGAGAGATTTAAGATTGACATACTGTTGCTTGTGCCTTGATCATCATAAATATGGCCAACAACAAGAATGTGCGACTGGTTCGACTTCAGGACTGTCAAAGCAGATCATAACTGGGGCGGCTTCACTCGGAATAGAGACTGTTGTGAGCTAGCGGCACAGCACGGAAGCTAGACGGTACGACAAGGCTTTGGCCTGACCGAATCCGCGTAGGCACTTACCAGCCCTAGTCCCGTAGATATTTAACTCGGATCCTCTAGCTGTCTATTAATTACAGTCGAGGCGAAGGTGGTCGGCATGGAGGGACATTAGATCACTTAACAAGCCCGGAACTTCTAGATAAGTCTCCTGGTATCGTATCAGGCTATCTCAATGATAAACGGGCCAATGAAGCAAATATCTGTTGAAATGCCCGAGAGTCTGTTCCTCAACGCGGGTGATAAGGTTAGGTTTCGCAGAAGTGCTGCGGGCAACGAACCGGCTTCCTCTTGGTCAATTGCGAAAGGAGGGAAATATGATAAATTATTTCTTCAAAGGTGGGCGCCCTACGTTTCGTTGACCGTTGTTGGCTAGGCAAGCATTACTTGCGGTCGTCGTCGCCTTATCAACGGTCCTACCATTACCGGGACCAGCTCCTCTTCATCTAGCCCGCCAATTCTCTACTAGATCGGTGTGTGCTTGGAAGCGGTTACACAGCCCGATGTTCAACACAAATACATTCTAGGGATTAGCGCTCTGAGCAACACCCAGCATGCTCTAGATCTCGAATGCGGTGTGGTAGGTCGACTAGTGATATCAACAACACATAAAGTCAAACGCAATTCATAGGTGGTCTGTAACATGGTAATAAATTGGAATGACCATTGCTATCCCTATTGCAGAAATCGGTGCAGTATATGCCTATTGATAAACTTGGTCGCCGACCTCCGCTTCAATGTCCTCAAACAAAGGTTTAGCGCTGAACCAACCAGGCCAGGGCCTTCCGATAGAATGGGCGGTATAGCCTGCTTCCTCGTTGTTTATTTTAATCGTTGAGCCTCCGCGACCGGCGGCAGCCGCGTCGGCCAGGAGTTGAGCGTGGCAGCACTTCTCCAGAGAGCAGAACCAGAAAACGGTTGCTTCGACGGTTTGGCCGACGGTCAATAGACCATGATTCTGCAGGAGACACGCCTTCTTGTTGCCCAAAGCCTTAGCGATGTTCTCGCCCTCATCTTTGGCAAAGACAATCCCCCCGAACTGGCGATAGACGCCGAGGTCATTGTAAAACGCGCACGAGTCCTGGGTGATGAAGTCGATAGGCCGTCCCAAGGCACAAAAGGCACGGCCGTACAGGCTGTGCGAGTGAGCGGCGCACATCACATCCGGTCGAGCTTTGTGGATCGCCGAATGGATCATGTACGCTGCGGTGTTGAGGAGCCTGCAAGGGCCGCCCCCGATTATATTGCCTTCTTCGTCCACCAGGATAAGATCCGACTTCTTGATCTTGTTAAAAGACACGCCAAATGGATTGACCCAGAAGGTGTTGGGGTTGACGGGATCCCGAAGTGTGATGTGACCAGCCACTCCTTCGTCGAACCCTCGCTTGCCAAAAATGCGAAAGGCGAGGGCGAGGCGGCCTTTCAAGTACTCTCTCTCTTCGTACTTGTCACAGAAGCGTGGGATGCGTGGAAAGCGGGTGGTGAGAAGGGGCTCGTCGTCCCTGGGAACATTGAACTTGGCCACCGGGTCGTCTTGGATGGAAGGATTAGGGTACCCTTGTAGGGAGTCAGCATCTTGGTTTTCAGGAGCCGTATTGGGGACTTTGATGACCATCGTCGCCGTCGAGGTTGCCATCTGGGGCACAGTCTTCAGGATCCTTTGGCAAGAACTCTGGTAGGGAGGGTATCGCGTGTCAGCCGTAGGTACCCGGTCTGATTTGAAGGCGTGCGTTGTTGTAAGCTTGCTTAATGGTATATTCAAGGTGTCAAGGAATTGGTCGCCAGTTGAAAGCGGGAACAGGGGGCAAGGCTGAGAGACCCTTTACCCCGCAATACCCCCACATCACTATCGCGTTCCCCCACATGGCTCTCGTGCTCATAGATGCGGTACTGTAGTACTTACACTCCATTGACTTTGCCAACTTGGTCGAACAAGAATTCGATTGTATGTCCAGATTGGCCTAGAGTCTAAGCTCTTTTCTGTCGTGATCTCCACCCACGGGCTCACTACGTGGTACTTTACGCTCTTCCGGGTCTTCTGCTATGCCTTGGATTTAGTCGGCCCCCTTATCGGCAAATTGTCAGTGTCAACCGTCCGGGGCCTGGATGATGGTGTTTCTTGGCCTAGCACCGAAAAGCAGAGCTACAAGAGCCTCGATCTTCCTTTTTGCCTGTCTGTCGCTTTTGCCAACTTGGTTCACCTCATGCATCCCGTCGATACCATCGTCCCAGTGAAACCAGCAACCAGAAAATATGAGCTCCTCCTCCTCAGAGCGCCAACGCGGGGTTTGTACTGAGGACAAACTTCGTATGACCCCCGTCATAACTTCAGGATCTCGAATATACGACTTGATAGTGCTTGGAGCTACCGGTTACACTGGTCGGCTCACCGCCGAGTACATCCAAGAGCATATCGCGACGGATTTGAGATGGGCGATTGCGGGACGCAATGGCTTGAAACTCTCTCGACTCGCCGATGACCTCAAAAGCATCAATGCGAATCGAGTTCAGCCCGGTACGAGATCAGTGCGCCTGATGATAGAGCAACTTCTAATTGGGACCATCTGCAGGCCTTGAGGTCGTCGAACTCAACCGCGACGACTTGCAACAGCTCGCGCAGAAGACGCAGCTGATCATTTCTACAATCGGGCCTTTCGCCAAGTTTGGCGAGCCTGTCGTCGAGGCGTGCGTGAAGTCCAAGACGCATTACTTTGACATGTAAAACCCTTGTAACCACCAAGCGTGGCTTGAGTCCTCTGACTTGCCTAGAACCGGGGAGACGCCTTTCACACTCGATATGTTACAGAAGTATCATGATTTGGCGAAGAAGAACGGCGTTGTGGTAAGCCTGCTTCACTGTTGGACTCTTGGATGGGGCCTTGTCTCTGGAGGTCCTTTCTATTCTGCTATAAGACAAACCAATTTGCTTCTAGGTGTCACTCCTGGCAAGTTGAGGGCACAGTGGCCCTTCTTCAATGTGTTTCAATCCCAGACGGACTGGTGAGCTGATATGGCTATAGCTTGCCCCTCATTCTGGTGTGGACTCCGTTCCGGCCGACATTTTGACCTACCTATGCGTTCAAAAAATCCGGCAAACCTACGGCGTGGGTGTTAAGGAGAGCATCAACGTTCTCCACGAGTTGGGGTGAGATCAACTCTGAAACGTAGCTCGGTCATTCGGTAACCTCTCTTCAGGGGCGGGCCCAGTGCCGGCAGCCTGGCTACCATGGTGTCCCTCATTGAAACGTATTCGTTTCGATTCACACTCCGCGCCCTGAGGCCGTACGCGCTCAGTCCAATCCCGCCGTCCAAGACCGGCGACACTGTGTCATTGCTCGACAGACTCCTCGCATCGCGCTATATCCCGCCGTTTGGAGTCGTGACCCACTTTCCGCAAGCCGAGTGTGATATTGGAATTGTCTACAGGTCGTGGGGACTATACGAGCAAGGGAAATACTACGGCGATAACTTCCGGTTCTATGAGTACCAGATCATTGGGAAACGGTTGAAGGCCTTTTTGACGCATTACACCGTGACCTTGGTCCGGACGGCGCTGAGGCTCCTCCCACCATTTCGATGGCTGGTGAAGAGGCTCCTCCCGCCCTCTGGCAGCGGGCCACCAAAGTCCGAATTTGCGAATTACCGAGTTTCCTTCGCGACTGTCGCCACTGCCGACTGCGAACCTACGTGCCGAGTCATGGCTTCATTGAATTACAAGGGGTCGCCGTACTATCTGACGGGCGTGCTAGTAGTCCAAGCAGCACTGACGCTGCTAGAAGGCGGCGATACCCTGGGAAGGAAACTGAAAGGCATGGTTACGCCGGCAACGTGGGGAATGGAGCTGGTCGACCGGATGAAACAAGCTGGCGTCGAGTTCCGAGTCAGCCTTCTTGATAGAGAAAGAGTGGTTTAAAGAAGCAAGGGAATCCTTTTTGATTGTATCTTGTAGTTGGCCTCTCTAGGGGGGTATTTGACATGAGTTCACTCACGACTTTATAGCCTCGTCTTTTGAGCTCGATAGAGTGTGCGGTTTACCAACGACGTGGCGTCCTGTCCGCGCTCTCGAAGCTCTGATAGAGGACGCAATCACGTAGGTGTTGCCCTCGGTCTCTACGACATCAGATGACGTGCGTGTGGGAAGCCAAAAGGCCCCTGCCAATATTAGCTTGGAGCATACCTATGATCCGCGTCCATATGTTGCTTAGATTCCGCGGTCCCCCGCACTTTCGGTGCGCAGAGATTCCATGCTGACAAAAGAGTCAATGTGGACGACTCTTCAAATATCTGACCGACTCTTGACCACATTGTCCTTGATCGAATCCAATCTGAACGAATCCCACCGAAATATCTCTAGTCCCTACCATCGCCATGACCGACACCACCAACGGCAATCTTCCAAGGGTGAAGAGCCCGGCACACCTCGCCCATGTGCTGCTGCGGACGACCAAATTGGACGAGATGATCGACTTCTATGTACAGTTCTTGGGCGGCTGGGTGGCCTTCCGCGGAAAATCCATGGCCTTTATAGCGTACGACGAGGAACACCACCGCATTGCCCTTGGGGCAATGCCCAACACCACGCCCAAGGACCACCTCAGCAGCGGCCTAGAGCACATTGCCTTCACCTACAACAACCTTGACGACCTGGTGCTGGCATACGAACAACGGAAGAAGTTGGGCATGCACCCCATCTGGTGTGTGAACCACGGCCCGACTACGTCCATCTACTATCAGGATCCCGACGGCAACCATCTCGAGACCCAGGTCGACAACTTCGACACCGTCGACGAGGTCAATGAGTACATGATGTCACCAGAATTTGCCGAGAACGCCATCGGATTCGACTTTGATCCCGAGGCGCTGGCAGCTCGCGTGCACGGAGGCGAGGACCATAAATCTATTAAGCGGCGGATCGGCTCTGGTCCCCGGCCAAATCCTCCATACCCGTCGCTTCATAAATAAGATGACACCACGATTTCTTGATGAAATGGGAACCAGCGGTTCACAATGGCTTCAAGAGTTTCCTGGAATGGTAGGGGCATGTTTTCGAGACCAGATCCGTGGGTCCTGCTGCAGATGTGCGCGTTTTGAAAACTTGGGACGGATGGCGAACCGGTCAGAGGATGATAACAAATAACTACCCTTGTACCAAGTTATCCAACTAGTTAAGAAATCTTTTGTGCAGCGCCATTTCCTTTGGCTATGTGAGCTGTATTGTAGACGGTGAAAATTCTATTCGATTTCTCTCGAAGAACATCCTCTTCTCGTCACAGACTCGCCTTTTCAAAGACAAGTTTATTCTCTATCCTTCCGATCTTCTCAATCTCGACGGTCACCACGTCTCCGTCTTGCAAAAATCCCGGTGGTTTCATAAACGCGGCCACTCCACTAGGAGTTCCGGACATGATGACGGTGCCTTTTCGGAGGGTCGTGCCTCGGCTGAGGTGCTTTATGATCTCGGGCAGCTTGAAGATCAGATCATCGGTCCGTGATTGTTGCCTAACTTCGGTCCCGTTGACGATGGTCTTGAGCCACAAGTCGTGCGGGTCTCCTATGGCGTTGGGCGATACTATGACGGGCCCGATGGGAGCAAACTTGTCAAATCCTTTGGCGGAGCCGTGTTGACCGCCGGACCGCTCGCGCCATTGCCAATAGCGTGCAGAGACATCATTTCCAGCCGTGTATCCCAGCACGTAGTTCAAGGCCTCCTCGGCAGTCACGTTCTTGCAGTCCTTGCCGATCACGACACACAGTTCAGCCTAGCACCGAAAAATCAGTATTGTACATCGCCAGCAAAGAAACCAAGGAGAGTTTATGGACAACAGATATTGCTTACTTCATAGTCCATCTGAGACTGGCATTCGGGATGGATGGGTATGTCTTCAAAAGGACCGGCGAGGGCGTCTGCAGCCGTAAACATTGCGTCAGCATGATTGGGTTTATGTGACAATCTTATGATGGTTCGCCCTTTCTTAGACCAGCTAAGGAATTCAGAGGTTGACTGACCTGCCGGTTTCTTAAAGATGACGGGATATTTGGGTGGTTCGCCCTGCACGAAGATCGGAATGAGAATACACCGGGTTTCGCGAGCAGAGAGAAAAACCCCATACATACCCCGGCTTCTTGGACGTGCTTGAGATAATTGACTCCCACGCACTCAAAGATTGGCACATACGGCAACGGAGCAAGAACCTTTGACGTGATTCTTGTTAGCCGTGGTAACAGGAAACATTTCCTTGTGCAACGAGAAAGAGTTTGTTTGTATGTACCTCTGCGATTTCCTCCTGATGACCCGTCAGAGCAAAGTCGTCTTCGAACGGCGTCTCTCCCTTGTACACGGCGACCTTCCTGCCTTGCAGCGACTCTTGGGTGACGAAGTCGACCCCCGGCACTTCGCCGTAAAAGATCTGTCCAGCCGGATTGCTGAATCGGACCAGACGTGAAAAGGCAGCCATGGTCTCTTGCGCACAAGATTGAGTTTTGCCACAACCAGCGAAGTAGAGCAGTGAAGCCCAGTTCAAGAGACTTCGCACTGAGGAAATGATATATTGAGCTACCAAGGTCTCACCGCGGGACTCGTCGAGTTTGAATCTAGGAAGGGAATCTAATCTCCGACTTGAGTAGTCTCTGAATTCTCCTAGAGCGGTCAGCATACGGTCATCTTATTCCCGACTCAGTGGGAAATTTCATGCGCATCTTTGCTCCTCGGGTGAGTCTCGTCTGGCCGGGAACCCGGCCCAACGCCGGGGCATGAGCAGACCGAGGATGCAAACCATGTGGGGGAAATGGGGACCTCAGATACTCATATACGAGCCCTCGTGTGTATCAATGGCAGGCTTCTTTATCCTCGGCCAAGTAGGGATCTCCCGCTGGTTTGAGAACCTAAGACCAGGGTCGAGCATAGATAGGAGACTAACAGCCTCTCGGGATAGATATAGTTATGTCACGATAAGCATGACGACCCAGGCGGTCAGTCTTCTCAGGAGCTATGTATAAGTGAATTGATTGCAGACTTCGGGGGGGCTTGTATCTACAAAATATCGTTTCTTCAAGCGCCGAAACTCAGGTCTGATAGCATTGTACTAGGTATCTGTGACTGGTCCTCTCTACTATTAGATGTGAGGCCCTGGGCGCAGCTACTCTACTTCCAATGCAGTTCTGTCCACTCTCCATGATTTGTCTCTTATTCTGCAGCAACACGTAGCGGCGTCCCATCCAGCGCCGCGCGAATCTGCAAGGCAACAAATCTTGACATGTATCGGGCATGCATGCAGGTTCCTCCGTGCATCCACAGATTCGGGTCTGTTCAGGAGTGATGTTAGTCTGCTCGCGGTGAAGGATCATTAGACAACGTCGTGGGATGTACTTACGGCCCGAGGGTTTGAATGCGCCTTTGACTTCCCCTTCCTCGTTGATCCCCCAGAAATCTTCTATGCGTTCGGAAACGTCCGAGCCCAGAATATCGTGGATGGCGACTTTCATGCTTCCCACGAAGCCGGTGGCAAACACGATAAAATCTGCTCTGATGTCGGCCCCATCGGTGAACTTGAGTCCGTGCTCGGTATATTGGAGGGGCAGCGCGTCTGATTTGACCTTAATCTGCGAAGCCAAAAGAAGGGTCAGCACATAGGACGACGTGATAGAGTTCGTTCGACTTTCCAAAGCCCGCAAGACTGTCCAAACCTCATTAGGAGCCGTTATAATATGCAAGAGACGTACCAAGCCTTTGGCAATCTTTGCGGATGCTCCAACATCCATATAATGGCCGCCAAACCGATCAAAAACCTGGTAGATGATGTCCCCGTATCGAATAACCTTGAAACCGGCCCTCTCTAGTGCATCAAATCTCTCTGGCTCAGCTTTCGCCATTTCGTTGAGCATGAACATGCTGAGATGTCGACTCAGTGCCAGCGGATTCGTCAGATTCATCTGATCGGCGACTTCAGTTGGGATTTCGGGGTTGTACGATACTGTACATTGTCAAGAATTCTATTTCGGTAGATTTGGGACCTTTGTGCCATGCAAAGGGAAGTACCATGGCTCCTAACTTACAGTTTTGCAGTTTGGTATAATATTCCGCCGGTAGCACGTCTGAGGTTGCTTTGTCAGTACTTGCTCCTAGAGCCTGTGGAACGTGTTGCACTCACAGGTAGGCGACCGTTGGACCATGGTCACTGAGGCCATATTCGCGGCAACCATATCCTCGGCCACATCATGAGCTGTGTCTCTAGAGTTAGTAATGATACCACTTGAGGCTCCTGAGCGTTGGATGCCCACCTGTGTTCGCGGTGCCAACCACGACGCCATGTTTTCCTTCCAATCCTTCAGCGGACGTGTAGTTGGCAGAGTGGACAACTGTACCCCGGAAGCGCTCCTGGAACGTTGTCAGCTTCTCTAAAGCTATTGTGATGGTCAAAATCTTACAATACCGGGGTACGTGGGCATCGTGGGAATTTGACAACCGGCACCCAGAGCCATCACGAGATGGGTAGCCGTGATACTCTTCATTTCCCCGTCTTGGACAAGATCAAGTGTCCACCGTTTCTCGTTTTCGTGCCATCGCCCAGATACAACCGTGGTTGAAAGCCACACATTCTATTCTCGGTTCAACAACGACAGCTTACGTCTGGAGGAGTGCGAGCACTTACGATGGCATATTTCTTGGCCCAGTCCAAGTAGCCTTGAGCCAAGTCGTCCTTGGTAAGGTATTGCGGATAATGCGGCGGAAAAGTTCTGTCGAAAGGTAGATGCGCTGCGGGGTGGGATCAGTCTGGGACGTCGATCATACTGGCTCACCGTGTCACATACAAGACTCACGAGTAGTGTGTACTTTTTGTGGCCCACTCAGGTCAGTCACCAAAGCTCGCCCGTCCGAAGTCAGCACTCACACTTGGTAGATTTATAACGGGTTTTCCAACTGTCGCCAACCTCAGCATTTCTCTCCAGGAGCACGTACTTGACCCCTTGCGACTGAAGTCTGCCGGCGACGCTCAACCCAGCCTGGCCCGCACCAACAATTGCACAATCGAACTCATCCTGCGCTGTTCGTATCGATAGGGTTGACTTGGTATCGGTAGTGCGGGCGTTGGCCGGCGCAAGTTTGTCGACGCTTGGATGGTTCTCTAGTTTGTCAATCAACGTGCGAAAGATCCAGATCTGCCATTTCCCATCTGCGGCTGGAACCAAAGAAATGATGGCCGTGCAATCTCTGGCCGGAGTGTCATCGATCGCGAAGGTAAACGTGCCTTCAATCCACTGTGCCTCTCCAACCCGGACTGCGCGCGAACTCTTTTGAACGTATTTGAAGAGCTTCGGGCGCGCGTTGGCGGTAAGCGTCTTCCAGATTTTGACGATTTTGTCCGCTCCATAGAAGGTGCGAATGCTGCCTGTCAAAGCGAACAGGTCCCGCCACAAAGAGTCGGTCGTTAAGATGGATGCATCCGGATGGTATAGAACATCTTGAAAACTGTTGCAGATAGCCTCTGAATCCAAATCTGCCGGTAGAGGTCGAGAGGGCAGAGTACAGGGCAGATATTCCAAAGGCGATGAAGCCATCGTTGTATCTGTATCCGTACAAAAAGGACTTAAGGTCTGTTCTGTATAATTTAGGGCATATTCATGGCTCGGGTCGACTGAGCGCGGACATTTTGCTGTTTAGACTCCTCTTGCAAGAGAGCCCCCGGAGCTGTGGGGGACGGGCGGCTGGCCTCCCCCGCAAGACATCTCCTAGCTACAGGCCTTCACAAGCCCCGTCTGTGGCGTGTTCTAAAGCGTTGGACGAACTAGGTGGTGTGTTCCAGGCTGCCCAGGCAGAATAGTGTCTCGGGTTCCGGCACAGTGCTAGCGGAGGAGGGCTCCAGAGCATTTCCTACAGACCAAACGCACGAGCGCGAGACACACTTCATTGCCAGGACAGAGACAGTTGTGCAATTTCAGAGCATCCATTCTCCAGTCGATTAAGCGGGACCCTCGAAATGGGAGCCTAGGTTAAGGAGTTGGACCTCGGCGCGATCGAGAATTTTTATTGTTAATACAGGAAAAATAATTGCAGGCTGGCTTAGTCACGGTATGCCCTTTAGAGTCTTCCACATCCACGTCTTTGCGAATCAAAGCAACTTGCTTCGGTCGCAAGGCTCCGTGGGCTCACTCTCCCCAACTGCATGCATGACCGCTTCAGAAATCCGGAAGCCGAGCAGCTGGACCGGGAGAACCTGGTGGTCCATGAGCCTGTTCTGACAAGTATTGATGGGGATCTGCACCCCTCTCCAGACCACAGATGTTGAACCCAGACTCTGTGACCCAAACCCCGGAATGTATAGGCTAAATGGGCTCTTCTGTGTTAGGTGAACTGGAGACTATTATTTTTTCACTGTGACTGCGGTGTATTTAGTCCAATTTTATTGAACACAGACTGATCCGATCTCCCTAGATAAGGAGTCCAGCCCTAACGCAGGGTCGAAAGGTCTGAGAAGCAGGCCAACGAGAAAGAGCATGTAAACACGTCGGGTGAGCACCTGGTGCCTCTCCAAGAACGACAAAGGTGACCGACCGGTCCCTCCGACACCTGATGCGGAGGGGATTCTCTCGCGTTCCGCAGCCTCGGACGACTCCCGCCACCCTTTGGTAAGCCTGTGGTCGATAGGCCTTTGCATGCGGTATCTAACAAATGGTCTAGAATTGGTCAACCCCCAAGAAAGCGACGTCCCTCTTCATCGTCTACAGCACCCTTTTCAGTCCTGCTACAGGCTCTCGAGAACGCCTCCAGCTTCTTTGCACTGGCCATCTCGTACCGCAAGTCGCCTGTGATGATATCATATTATGTAAGTTGCAACCACCAGAGTACCATCGAACTTCTCTGATGTGAGATCGAATTCTGGTTGCCATTGCGGATGTCGTGTTTGGTCGCCTCCTCTGGACTTCAATTGCCCCTCGCTTTGGCAACGCCGGCATGATTGTCCCGGTCCACGGTGCTCACATTTTTGGCAAACACGTGATCCGCCTCTACGATGAAAGGGGATCAAGTATCTTTTTTCATCGTCTCCAGGATCTTTTTGAGCTTATTGAGATACACACCGCTGACTAGTGAATGCATGAATTCCCACCAACGCTTCAATGGGCTTCCAACGTGACAGTTGAAATGATTTCCTTAAGTGACCGAAGCGAATGCTTTGCTCTCTATATCTTGTCGATTCTTGGTGGGGTCATATATTCCCGACAAATTCTGGTGATGGGAGGACACCGACCAGGATCAGCAACTATATTGTCCAGGTGCCAAGAAAGCTCCGTACTGTAGGCCGTGATGGCCTGTCCAGATAATCGATCTCTCGAAGGATTGTTGTCCTTGGGGTCTTGCACATCCACTTGTGACGTATCCATGTTTTGATACCGCTTTCTCAAAACGACATCCATGAGTTTTAATGGATCTTGGAGATCCGGCGGTGCGAGTGTCATGAAAAAATTCCACTCCTCCGACGTAGTCGTCGCAAGATTCAGCATGATGTTGAGCCCGGGCAGAGCTGACTGGGGAAGTTGGAAGCATGGTTTATTTGAACAGCACTCGGTTTCAAGGTCCTTATTCTCAAATCCCGCCTCGATCTCATTCAGAAATGAAGAATAGACGGAGTCCGATCGTCGGCTGATCGGCCGCCTGGTAACATTCCAAGGCGTATTGTCTTCAGCAAAAGGAGAGTCTCGGGATAGATCCTCAAAGCCACTCCAGGTTGCACCGAGGATGATTGACGGGTCAGCAGCAGGTGTGAGAGGCTGTGAGTATGAACTGACAGCGTATTGGACCTTGGAATGTTGTTGGCAGCTTTCAGCAGGGAACAGAGCCACCCCGGATGCGCCGGAGGCGAGCCGATCAAGCTGGAATCCTCGATCCATCCATTCTTCTGTATATTTGATCGCGATTTCCTTGTTCCGCCATCGTGATATGATAATTGATTTCGAAGATGCCCGCCGATAAGGTGATGCTTTTCTACACCTTGCCGCGGCGACGGACCCCGCGCCGCCTTCGAGATGTGTCCCATACGCCCTCCGTCCCCGGTTGACGTACATGCTTGAATGTAAAATGAATAGGTCTCTGGAGATTCGGCACTACTGGTTCAAAATCAAAGACGCGCGATTCAGGGGGTGCTGGATGCTGCGCGTAATCTACTTAGTGGCGAAGGATCTTCTGTGGTTCACGTTGAATAGAGAGTAACTGCTCGGTCGCGATAAATACCACAAAGACCCAAGCTGTTTGGTGGTAAAAGTCATATAAAAGTAGCCAAGCTACCGCCAATTGCCTGAAGCATTGGTGCAGCCCCAGTTGGGCCAAAGGTAGACCGCTGTTCCGATGCGGCGAACGAAGACCCGAAGAGCTGCCGCCGATGCTTGCCGGCCCCGTCCAAGCTGCGGGGGGGAGGAGGCTCAGCGGGGGTTTGTTGTGGGGGAGGAAGATAGCACTGAACACCCGGCTACCGGTGGTGGCCTGTGGGATGGGGCCATCGAAGCATACGGGGTGTACAATCACGAGGTGACAGTACATCTGTAATAATACAGAGGAGCTGTTGGGTTGTTGTCGTCTCGAGAGCAGAGTGAATCTGTGAAACTGTATCTCAATGACATGAGTTCAAGCAATAAGATTGACTATGGTATGCAACTCCGTGCTCTCTCGGTAGAGGTAATAGTAGTCTTGCGGCTCTATCGATACCCGTGGTACACGTACATTGATTTTCTCCTCATTTCACTCCGTTGAGGGTGACCTTGTCCCTTCGCCCCAGAATCTGATCAAAAGCACCCGCGATGTCCTGGGCGGATCCCGGTCCAGACGACCTCCAAGCCACGATATTGTCCGGACGAACAAGGACGGCTCCTTTGGCACCAACGCCTTTCACTTCTGCCCATTGTAGTTCAAGGTCGACGTACTCCTCGACCGACGGCCTGTCCATGGGAGCGACGATTTGAGCGACTCTGAGCCCGATGGACCTTGCCTTGGCCGCTTTGCGGGCAGCGTCGACCCACTCAGCGCCGTCTCGATCGGTGATGAGGAGGAAGTCGGCCGCAGTTCCAACAAGATCATGCGTAGAGATCATGGCGCCGCGGCAGTCCAACCAAGCATGAGGCAGGCGGTGACCTGGCCGCGTTGTTGGAGTGTAATGCTGGTGCATCGGATCGCGTGGAGGCGGCACAGTACCGTCGGGCACGAACGAGCCTTGTGGGTAGACAAAACCTAGATCCATCTCATGTGCAGCGAATTCCACCTTTTGGCCATCGATAACGTACTGCAAATATGCGCGTGAGGCCTTTCCAATCTCGGATTCTTCGTCAAACATATTCAAAAAGTGCGCTTCATTGGCCTCGGCCTTCCCTTCCTCAATCCCAATGGCTTTCGCTATGACATGGTGGCGTTGAGACGTGAATAAGGCCCAGTCGCAGTTTATTTTGCCAGTCGGCAGCCGTTCCATCTCGTAGGTGTCTAGGAGGCTCACATCTGCCTTACCCTGAAGCACGTACGCTAGCTTCCATGCAAGATTCTGAGAATCTTGCACGGCTGTGTTGAGTCCCAGGCCGGTTGTCGGAGGATGACGGTGTGCCGAATCACCGCCGATAAAGACGCGCCCCTGGCTATACTTATTTGCCACGACTCTCTCCAGCACCCAATTGCTCAGGCTCAAGACCTCAAGTTCCAGGTCGGGTAGTTTTAACAGCTGCCGAATGCGGGCCACGGCGTCTTCACGTGGGAAAAGCGGATCATCAACTCCAATAGCGAAGTGCATCTGCCATTCTTCCGAATATCTCCCCCAGGTTGGGCCCAAAGGCAGCATTGAGCCACTCCGCATCCCGAGACCTAAAGACGGGTTGCAAAAGTGGGCTATGCCGGTGCGGTCGTCCCAGTACTCGGAGAGGTCTGCCTTAAAGTGCGTCGAAACGATCTTCCGGAGACCCTTGGGGCCTTCCATCTCAACCCCGATTTTTGGACCAACCATTTTGCCGCCATCCGCGCCCACTAGATACGTGGCACGGTAGACACTGTTGGTGCCATCTTTGTTCGAGACATAGACGAGGACACAGTCTTCCTTTTCTTCAAAGTCGGTGACCGTATGTGAAAAGAGCACTTTACCTGGGTTCCGAGTCTCTGCGATCGAACGGAGAATAGGCTCAGAGCGAAGCAGCGGAAGGTTTGTTGGAAGGTGAGGTGCATCTCGCCTGGAGAGGACAAAGGTTAGTTGGGTCGACTGGTGCCAGCGAAGTCTCAACGTACACATAGGTATTGTTGCGCTCTGTGCCCTGCTTACAGCCCCAAGTGTGAATAGTCCCCAGGATCTTACGATCCAGAGGCCCATTGCCGGCGAGAGAGGTCTGCCAGACCACTTGGCTCAATTGCCGAGGAGGGGTCCCTTGGGCGATGATTTCATCTGCGATGCCGTGCTGTCGGAATATCTCCATTGTCCTTTGGTTAATGATGTGGGCTTTGGGGAGAATCGAGGTGCCTGCATGACGTTCGAAAAGAATGTGCTGTACGCCGTGATCGGAGAGAAAGATGGAGAGGGAAAGGCCACAAGCTGGGAGAGCGTCAGCACTATCGTGAGCCTTTGGCAAGTGCACGGCTCACAGCCTCCTCCAACAATCACCACCGGAACTTCAATAGGCTCTGGCATTTTGATATGCCCTGGATACAGTCGTGCAGAGAGTCGGAAGAAACCTGTGAACGTCTTGAAAGAAGCTCGAGGAAATCTATATGAGCAATCGCGAGCCGAGCACCACGGGTCCCGGTCCTGTCAAAAGCCTGAAAGTAGCGAGGTGAGCTTGGCTCGTACTTATTTCGGAAAGAATACACCTTCTGACCCTAAGATGCCCATGAACGCGAGTCATCCTTGACGGAGAAGCCTATTTAAACATAGGATCGATGTTGGCGAGACATGGTATTGTTAGACTTCGACGCGGCACCCGTGAGACTCAACAGGACTGTTCCGACTCGAATATTTTGTCATGAGACGGATGGCGACCAACTGTGGGGTAGTGAATGTGGGATTTCTTAAAGCTTCTGCCGTGTGTTCCGTTTGAGGGCAATGGCCGAGACCGCGGACCAGCGCTCCAGCCTCCTTGCATGCCGACTGAATTAATCATACCACAGTGCGGAGGACTATTCGGTGAGTTGTGTGTTTATCCACGCCAGACATCATGGCATGGTATCTCCAGCCTTTCCTCTTGCCTATGTTGCGTGTATGGGTTTCAGGTTATTAAGTTTGTTTACAGGGAGGATTTCCTTCCAAGCCGCAACCAATACACCCTTGCCTAATTAGTAAGGTTACGTTTATCCTCTGCACAGAAAACTTTGCCGAGAAATTTCTTGGCACCCATATTTTGCCTTGTCCGCAGTCCTTGTTACCTATGTTACATGTGATTATGAACCCAGGACAGTGTCTTCAAGGGCGTCCTGAGTTAACCTGAGTTGTAGAGTGCCTACACAGAACTAGGAGCGCGTTAAATAGGTGGTAACCTAGACGAGACCGAACCGGCGCCTCCGTGTTGGTTGTAATATCTGCTGTGTACAAACCAGCAGTGCTATAGGCTTTGGTACGCTAATCTCCATAGAAATCACCATTATTGAAATTATAACAGAGAACAGCGCTGCTCAAGAAGCCATGAATAGTTATATTCGGCGATGCTAAGCACTTGGAAGTTATCTGCGCAGGGATACCTTCTACCCCCACATTCTACTCGGGTCACACAACTAGCCACGTGCCGAGACGCCTAACGATCTTAATGAGCCACCCTCAACACTCATGGCACCAGCACATACCTGTCAGAGAACCTAACGACTACTTTTGTTGGCGGTTTGGCCCCTGGGATTGAAAGCAGGTGTCCATGGGCACGAGAATCCCACGTCTATGATCGCGAGTGCAACGCCAGTTACATCTCCATCGTTAATGTGGAACAGGATGAGTTTGCCATGGAATTTTCAGGAATAGCCTTCTGAACACCGGCCGGCATTTAGATAAATAGGCAAAGTCTTCACTGAAGAGACAGATAGACAGATGCATCTCTTAAGACAGACCAATGCTATCCGTTAACTTAACAGTTCTCAGTCTTACAGGATCAACCTATACCTAAAAGTGAAATACCTGTCGACAGACTAAATGGCCCTTTCAAAAATCATCGATATGGCTTTAGGTCAACTCCTGGAATCAACTCCCACGCACTCAAGTAGGACTTGTCGCACCTGCGCGAACGCTACTAATAACCCACTTAAGGCTCCGTCTGACAAGTATTCTGACTAGCGAAACCGATCGACCACTAGATCAAGGATAAATCATAACACCTTCATGGGAATGCTGGAATTTCGCGGAGGGGTTTCTGTGTATAGTGGCAGCGGCGTGCCTAGGCATTTTGCCTTGATTTGCAGAGCGATAAAACGAGACATGTACCGTGCCTGGCCAATCGCGCCACCGGTATACCAGAAAGCGGGATCTATAAAAATCGGTCAGGTCAAACTTGTCTTTGATCGAGAATCAGATACTCACGGCCCGAGGGTTTGAAAGCGCCACGAAGTTCTCCTTCCTCGTTGAGGCCCCAGTAGTCCTCTACTTGAGCAGCGACGTCGTTGCCTAGCAGTTCAGCAACGAGGAGTCGCAAGTTACCAACGAACCCAGTGGAGAAGACAACCACATCTGCTCTCAGGAGATCGCCGTTGGCGCACTCCAGGCCATCCTCGACCCAGCGAACGGGGAGAGAATCGGTCTTCATCTTAATCTAGTTACTACCGTTAGCTCTAGATACCGTGAATGAATGGAAGTGAGCTCACCAGGCCTGAGGCGATCTTTCCTGATGTTCCGACATCCATGTAGTGGCCTCCCTGGCGTACGTAGACCACATAACCCATGTCGGCGTAGCGATCGAGGAGGAAACCAGCCTTTTCCAAAGCGTCAAACCGCTCGGGATGCTGACGAATCTTGGCGTGCAGCATCTTTCCGGCCATTATGCGAGTTATGACCGCTGGGCCAGTAAAGAACATTAAGTCGGCTAGCTCGGTCGGGGTGTCGGCGTTGTAGAGTCCTGGAATTATCAGTAGCTGTTCCTCCGGTGCTCTGAGTTAAGAACTAACTGTCGTGAGTCTCTCTATATAGTTCGACTGGAATGACAACTATTTTGTCCACGTTAGACCATTGCAGGAGGAGTCGACAATGTTAGCTCCTCACATGTTGGGTTTCTCTGAACCATTGTCACGGAAGCCATGCCTTGACTATACATGTCATCGGCGACATCATGCGCTTCAGGACGTCAGCATCAGCACCTTTGATATCATTAAATTGTTCTGACCTGTGTTTCCACTTCCCACGACCACACCGTGTTTTCCAACCCATTCCTTAGAGTTCGTATAATCGCCCGAGTGTAGAATAACGCCCCGAAAGGCCTCCTATATAGGGAAGGTGAGTCCGTGTTCCATGTAACCAGCATCGAGGGTGCGGTTGTAGACGTACTCGGTTCTCATATGTTGGGGCAACAGGGAATCGAGAATTTGCGCCCACAGCGAGAACGATGTAGGAGCAGGTAATTGTTTGGTTCTCGCCATTGCGCCGGATCTTCAGTTCCCAGGTGTTATGCTCTGAGATCCACGAGCCAGAGAGGACAGTGGTGCTTGTCCAAACGTTCTGTTGTAGTTAGCCGTAGTTTCTTTTCTCCTGCGCTCAGGGTAAATTACGATGTCAAACTTAGCTGCCCATTCGCGGAAGCCTTTAGCAAGGTCATCCTTGGTGAGGAATTCTTGATATGTTGCGGGGAAAGTTCGCTCAAAAGGCAAATGGGCTGTCGCATCTCAATCAGTACCAACCTATACACGTGAGTAATGCCACAAATCTTACCGAATTCTCGAATGGTGTGCACTAAATATTTGTTAGCTCCCTTCCACCGCCTCAAATTCCTGACAGGGTCTATACTGACATCTGGTAGAGTCGTATCGCTTTGCCCAACTGTCTCCCACCTGCTCATACTTATCTACAACGACATAAGACACACCGAGCGCCTTGAGTCGACCACCGACGGAAAGACCAGCCTGGCCGCCACCAATGATGATGCATTGGAAATCCACGTTCGGGCTGGTCGTGCCATTGGGAATAGTTCCGTTTGTGGTTATGCCATTGGGAGTCGCTCCGTTTGTGGTTATGCCATTAGTAAGCGCGATGGTACCGTTGGTCAGCTTCTCGCCATCCAACTGACGTACCACATCGAGCTTGTCCACGTTTGGCTGGTCCTTGAGCTGCCCAATGACCGTGCGCATGATCCAGATTTTCCAGTTGCCATCCTTGTCGAGGGCAACAGAAAGAATCCCATCGTCGGCGGTGGTGGCCGGTATACCACGAGTCTCGAAAGTGAATCTCAATTCCACCCAGTGGGAATCTCCAGCTTTGATCAAGTTGGGTTTACCCTGAATCTCGAACGAAGTTGGTTTGTGGATTGCTGACGTATCCTTCCATGCAGCGGCTATGGATTTGGCAGAGTAGAATGTCCGCAAGGTGCCGGTCATGGCAAATGTGTCGCGCCAGAGAGCATCCTGGAGAAAATGGCTTTCACTGAGAACTTCGAAGGCTGAACTGAAATAGTTGGCCAAGGCATCGAGATCTACGAAATCTGGAATGGGGATCGCGGGGAGGAAGCACGGAAGATTTGGTAGAGGATACATAGTATCGATCCAGGCTGCCTGAACTTCTGTAAACTGGACTGCTGATGGAATCCGTTAATTAGGTCGAGAACTTCTGGTATTTTATTATTCCAACTCTGGCCATAAGAGGCTGAGATGGCGAACCGCCGCTTTCTCAAAGGACCGATTCGACGCCGAAACGCGTCCGACATGGCTATGTGGGGTTGAGGAGCTCCGGGGGGGGG